GCGTGGCGCCGCACGGCGCGGCGCCGCACGGCGCGGCGCCGCACGGCGCGGCGCCGCACGGCGCGGCGCCGCACGGCGCGGCGCCGCGGCCGGGCTACGGCCCCATGCCCGGCGCGATGCACCCGGGCATGATGCCCCGGGGCCCCGGCGGCATGCCCGCCTGCCTGCCCAACGGCATGCCCGTCGGCCTGCCGCCGGGCCACCCCCACGCGGGCATGGCCCCGCGGCCCATGGTCGCGCCGCCGAACGGCGTGCCCGTGTCCGCGGGCGGCTTCAACCTCCACGAGCTCATGAGCCAGCTCACGAACCTCACGCCGCAGCAGCTCCAGGAGATCGCGTCCATGAGCCAGCTCGTCCTCCACACGCAGCAGGGCGCGCCGCCGCGGCCGGGCGCGCCGCCCGCGCCGCCGCCCTCGGCCAAGAGCGAGCCGCCCTAGCCAGAAACCTTAAACCCCTGTGTAGTTACGTCCCTCACGTTACGTCCCTCACTCGTCGACCCAGAGCGCGCGCGCCCTCGGCCCCGTCGTCCGGTCCTTCTCGCGGACGAGGTAGAGCTGGAGCCAGGCGACGGCGAGCAGCGCCGCGTCGCTCGCCTCGTCGAGGGGGTCGAGCGACGACGCGTCGGCGACGTGGACGACGTAGTCCGCCGCGGGGCCCGCGTCGAAGCCCGCGCGGAGCGCCGCGGCCGCGGCGCCGGCGTCGCGGCCGAGGACGACGAGCGGCGCGCCCTCCGCGCGCGCCGCGGCGCGCCCGAGGGCGGCCGCGTCCGCCGCCGGCCGCCAGGCGACGACGGCGTCGAAGGCGGCGCCCGCGGCGAGCGCCCTGTCCGCGAAGCGGCCGAAGGCGACGACGCCCGCGGCGCCGGCGGCGCGCGCGCCCGCGTGCGCGGCGCGCGCGGCCTCGAGCACCGCCGCCGGCTCGAGGGCGGCGTAGGCCTCGAGGTCCTCGGGCGCCGGCGCGACGACGAGCGCGTCGGCGTCGAAGGCGAGGCGGTCCGCGAGCGCGAGGCTGCTCTCGAGGTCGTAGTTTCCCCGCGCGTCCAAATCCGGCAGCAGGAGCACGCACTTGCCCCCGGCGCCCGGCGCCGCGGCGCGCTCCTGGGCCACGAGCCGCGTCGACGCCACGTGGCACGCGAGCGCGACGCCGCCGACGTCGAGGTCGACGGCGTCGCGGACGCTGCCGTCGATGAACCCGCGCCGCGGCGGCGGCGCGGCCTCCGGCATGCGGCCCGGCGCCTTGGCGTCGGCGACCTTCTTCAGCGCCGTCGCCGCGTCCGCCTCGGCCGCCGTCAGGCGCGCCACGAGGGCCGTCTTGTTGCCGGACACCGCGAGGCCGCGCCGCCGGAGGTGCGCCTTCAGCTCCTCGTTCTTCATGGACTGCCACACCGACGGCTCGGCGCTGGACGGCGCGACGCGGATTCTGGTTCTGTGTGGTGCGACGAAGGACGAGGCACCGGTGACGAGCAGAGCGAGGAGCAGCGGCCTGCGCAATACAAGCACCACCATCCCTTTCCGCTCAATTCTTCGATTCCCTTGACGTTCAAGTTGACGTGCGCGCGGCGAAAAACGCTAAACTAAATCGTACTCTGTTCAAACGCGTCCCCCGGCGCCGCGCCGTGGAGGACGGCCTCGGCGGCCCGCCGGAGGGCGCGCTCCGCGCGGGGCACGTCGAGGACGAGCGCGTCGTCGAGGAGGTCGCCGAAGCCCGGCGAGAGCGGGTCTTCTTTCAGCCACGCGAAGGTGCCGAGGCCGTGGTGCTCGTCGCCCGGCGCCGCCGCGGAGAAGGCGCCGAGGTGCGCGAGGCCCACGCCCGTCTCGAAGCAGCTCGACACGACCGCGCGCGGCCCGAGCCGCGCGAGCCGCGCGGAGTGCGCTATCCCGAGGAGCGCGGGCTTCAACACGAGCGCGGCCGCGCCGGCGACGTCGGGCTCGCGTCCCGCGGCGAGGGCCTCGGCCAGGGTCTCGTCGAGGGCCTTCGGCGGCGCGCGGTCCGCCGGCGGCTCCTCGACGAAGTCGAGCTTCGCCGGGTCCATGTCGAGCGCGTCCAAGAAGCGGTCGTAGTCGTCCGCGCTCCACTTGCGGTTCGCGTCGACGCGCACGCGCAGCTTGCCCCAGTCCAGCAGGTCGACGCGGCGCGCGTCCTGCGTCGGCGACGCGTCGCCGACCTTGAGCTTGACGACTTTGCCGGCGCGGTCGAGGTCGAGGTCGGACGCGTCCCTGGGATCCAGCAGCGCCGCGACGGCGACGGTCCCGGCCGCCGCGGGCGCCTGCAACAGCCGCGCGTAGCCCGCGCTCGGCCGGCCCCGCGACAGCGCCATGACCAGCGCCGTCTCGACGGCGAAGCGCGCGGACGCCGGTAAAACGCCGCACGTCTCTCGGATCCACGCGTCGAGCGCGGCGCCGTCGTCGAGCGCGCCCGCCGGCGGCGTCGCGCCGCGCAGCGCCGCCGCGGCGGCCTCGAGGGCCGCCTCGGCGTCGGCCGGGGACTCGGGGTGGACGCCCCGGCAGGGCGCGGCCTCGCCGATGCCCGCGTGGCCGTCGACGCGGAGGGCGATCCACGCGCCGCTCACGGACGACTCCGCGACGTCGAGCTCGTCGCCGTCCCAGGCCGCGGCCTTGGGGCGGCCGACGGGCGCCGCGAAGCGTCGGATCGTCGCCTCGGATATATGGGGCGCGCCGGTGGTCCCGTCGCCCGCGCCGAGGAACGCGACGGCCGCGGCCGCGACGGCGTCCGGCGCCTCGTCGAGGAGCGCGTGGCCCGCGCCCGGCACGGCCTCCGCCGGCGCGCCGCCCGCGAACGCGGCGACGTCCGCGGCGACGCGCGCGTCCTCGGCGCCGTAGAGCAGCAGCGTGTCGCCGTCGGCGGTCAGCGCGGGCGAGTCGCCGAGGCCGCCGTGTCGGAGCGACGCCGCGAATCCCTTGGGCCGCGGCCGCGCGAGGCGCCGCGCGAGCAGGGCGCCGTAGGCGTCGCCGTCGGCCCGGAGGCCGCGCCACATGCCCGCCTTGGCGTCGCCGGCGTACCAGTCGTCGAAGAAGCCGCGCCAGCTTTGGTCGCCGTCGAGCGCGCGGACGCGGTCCGCGAGAGCCGCGTCGGCCGCGCGCCGCGCCGCGGCCTCCGGGCCCGCGTCGCCCGCGAGGCCCGCGAGGCGCGCGGACAGCGCCACGACGCGCCGGACCTTGGCGGGGTGGGACCGCTTGAGCCCGAGCGCGAGGCGGCCGCCGAGCGAGTAGCCGACGACGTCGACGACGTCCGCGTCGAGGCGGTCCAGCAGCCCCGCGAGCGCGTCGACCTGCGCGTCGAAGGAGAAGACCAGGGGCTCGAAGCCCGCGGCGTGGTGCGCCAGCGACGGCCCGCTCCGGCCGTGGCCCGGCAGGTCCACGGCGATGACGTCGCGGCCCGCGAACGCGGCGCGGAGCCGCGCGACGTCCGCCGACGACCCGAAGAGGCCGTGGAGGAGCAGGACGGGCGGCTCCGACGACGCGCCGGCGGAGAACTCGTAGTGGAGGTCCGCGGCGCCGCGGTCGTCGGCGCCGCCGACGACGCGCGCGCGCGCGGCCGCCGCGGCCGCGGCTTCGAGGCGCGCGTGCGCGGCGACGTTGGCGCGCCTCGCGACCGCGGGCACGGCCTCGACCAAATCGACGCCCCCGGCGAGCGCGGCGTCGAGGGATGCCTTCGTGTCGCAGCGCGCGTGCGATAGCCCGTGAGCCTGCGCGAGCGCGCCGAAGTCGACGGCGTGCGGCGCTCCGAACAGGGGTTCGAACTCCGTCTCTTCGTCGACGACCTCGTCCGCGGGCAGGCCCGGCGCGTTCGTCGCCAACGGCAGAAAGCTGAAGATGCCGCCGCCGTCGTTGTTCGTCACGACGGTCTGGAGCCGCGCGCCCCGGAGGCGCTTCGCGTCGGCGACGGCGCGCAGCGCGCCCGCGTCGTGGAGCAGGGCCTGGTCGCCGATCAAGAGCAGCGCGCCGCCCGAGTTCTCCGCGTAGCCCAGCGCCGTCGACAGCACGCCGTCGATGCCCGCGAGGCCCCGGTTCGCGTCGCCGCCGTCCGAAACGCCGAAGCGGTCGACGTCCCGCACGGCCATGCTGTTGGACACGAAGAAGGCGCCGACGGCGCCGGCGCGCCGGCTCGCGGCGCGCGCGATGGCCGGCTCCGTGAGCGTGTCGTCGTCGTCCATGGCGCGCGCCAGGGCCGCGTCCGCGACGGCGCCGAGGTCCGCGAGGAACGTGAGGCCGCTCGACGAGGACAGGCCGTGGAGGCCCCGCGCGAAGGCGCCGACGGAGCCGTCGAAGCGGTGCGTCGTCGCGCCGTCGTCGTCGACGCGGCCGAGGCCCGGCGCCGCGACGACCTTGGCCGGCCGCGGAAAGGCCGCGAAGGCGCGCTCGAGCCACGCGCGCGTCGCGCCGCCGTAGACGGGCGCGCCGCCGAGCTGGAGCACGCAGTCCGGCGCGAGCGAAGCCGCGACGCCCGCGGCGTCCGAGAGCACGACGTTCGGCCGCTCGACGAGCAGACCCAGGTCCCGCGCGGCGCCCCGGAGGCCGCTGCGCGCGTCCGCGTGGACGACGGGCCACCCGAGCGCCGCCAGGAGGTGCGCGGCGTCGAGCCGGTCGCCGCCGTCGATTTCGCCGAGGACGACGACGCCCGACGAGGAGGAACGAAGAACGTGGCCCAGGCCCGGCGCCACGGCCGCGGCGCTTTGTTCGTCGTAGACGACGAGCGGCGCCGTCGCCGCGAGCCAGCGGCTCGCGGTCGCGCCGGCGAGGCAGCCCGGGTCCCAGTCGCTCGTCGCCTGTGTGCAAATCAACCAGTGAGCTGGGACGTCGGGGCCAAACTTCAGAAATCTCTAGCTCGGTCAATTCGAAGTCGATTCGGCTGATTTTTGGACGAATCGATTGCTCTCATCGAGTTCTCGAAGCACGGCCGAAGGGACTGGTCCGAACCGTTCGATTACGCTCACGTTGAATCGGGTTGAAGATTTGATTTGCACACAGCTCGTCGCCGGGCCGCTGCCCGCGGGGAAGCCCCGCGCGCCCGAGGCCCTGCCCCGCACGGCGCCGCGCCGCGGCGCCAGATTCTCCTCGAAGGCCAAATTGAGCTGCGCGGGCCCCGGCGCGTCGGGGCGCGTCGCCGCGCGGACGGCCGCCGCGACCTCGGCGAGGTCGCCCAGACCCGCGACGCGGTCGTCCGGCGGCGGGAGGTCCGCGACGCGCCGGCACACGGGCTCGAGCACGCGGCCCTGGCTCTCGAGCGCCTGGTCCGCGCCGACGCCCTTGAGCGCCGCGGGCCGGTCCGCCGTGAGGAGCAGCAAGGGCACGCCCGCGGCGTCCGCCTCGCACGCCGCGGGCAGCAGATTCGCGACGGCCGTGCCCGACGTCGTCAGCACGGCCGCGACGCTCCCCGGCCGCGCCCGCGCGTGGCCCAGCGCGTAGAACGCCGCGGACCGCTCGTCGTGGACGACGGCCAATTTGCCCGCCGTCGCGGGGTCGCGCGCGATGGCCAGCGCGAGCGGCGTCGACCGCGAGCCGGGGCTCACGACGAAGCGGTCGACGCCGCAGCGCGCGAGCTCGTCGACGACCATGGTCGCCCAGGCCGCGTTCGCCGTCGGGAGCGACCGCGGGTCCGCGCGGCGGCAGAGCGCCCAGAGCGGCGCGAACGCCGCCGACGGGCCCGCCTGCGCAGGACAAGAGTGCGAACATATCTCGGTTGGTTTCCACTCGTTTCGGCTCATTTTTGGACGCGCGATCATCTCTCGGAGCGCTCTCGACGCGTGGACGCTTTTCCCGGAACGCGGTCATGTTGAAGCGAACGTGAATCACTCTTTTCCCGCCCGGGGGCCCGCGGCCATCGCGTCGTCGCCGAAGCGCACGAGCTCGCAGGACGCCGTTTCGTCGTCCCCGGCGTAGACGTCGAGCGTCGCGCCGTTGGCGCGGGCGTCGAGGCGCACGAGGCTGCCCGCCGCGAGCGCCGCGAGCTCGACGCCGAGGTCGCAGACGTCGCGGCCGCGGCCCGCAAAGTTCGCGAGCGCGTCGCGCGCGGGCGGCCGGCCGCGCCGCGCGCGCTCGCTCCAGCGCACGCGGGCCGCCGCGGCGGCGGCGGCGGCGCGCGACACGGGCCGGCCGCCGCAGCCCTCGACGGTGACGGAGAGCATCGCCGCGGCGCCGCCCCCGGAGTCCGAGACCGCGACCTCGACGGCGTCGAGGCCGTCGCCCTCGAAGCGCGCGACGCAGCGCACCTCGCTCGCCGTCACGTTGAGCTGCGCGACGCTCAGGCCCAGGCCCAGCTGCGCCTCGAGGAACCGCCGCGGATCGGTCGCGACGGCGACGGGGCCGAAGGCGCACGTGCTCGCCTTGCCGTCCGCCGCGTCGCTTACGGCGGGCGCCACGCGCCAGAGCGGCATCGGCAGCTTCTTTGGCGCGAGCGGTAGGGCGCTTCGCATGGTGCAGAGCAGCAGCAAGGCCTGACTGCGAGTCATCTTCCTCGGCTCCATCGCCTCTGTCGTGGCGCCGGGCCGACGTTGTGGAGAACGTCGCTGAAACGAGCAGTTGTCGAGCTGCGGCATGGAGCTCGATTTGGGAGCTAGCGGCGCAGAATCAGCGCCAGCCACAAATTCCGACGCCGTGGCAGCGCCAGCGGTGCTCGCCGACGTCGCCGCGCCGGCAGACGTGGCGTACGACCCGCTCCTGGAGGCCGTCGTCGCGAAAAAGTTCCCGGGCTATGGCAAGGAGCCCTGGATCGGCGAGGTCATCGAAGGACCGGACGAGAAGGACCGCTATTGTTGCTTGTGGGAGAAGGACCAGTCGACGACGTGGCACTCGAGAAAGGTGATCGAGAAGATCATCCTTCGCGCCGCGCCGGAGTTCGGCGCGCCGGCGGCTTCGGCGCTGGAGGTTGTTTCGGCGCCGGAGCCGCCGCCGCCGCCGCCGTCCGCGCCGGAGCCGCCGCCGCAACCCGCGCCGCCGCCGCCGTCCGCGCCGGCGCCGGCGCCGCGGCCGGCGCCGAGGCCGAAGAAGCGGCGGCCGCCGCCGCGGAAGCGCAAGGCGCCGCCGCCGCCGCCGCCGCCGGCGGGCGCCTTCGCCGTGGGCGCGACGAAGCGCCCGCCGCCGGCCCGCGCGCCGCCGCCGCCGGACGACGGCGCGGACGTCTGCTGCGTCTGCGGCGGCCCGACGGTCGACGCGCGGGGCGAGCCCATGCTCGACGTGCTCATCTGCGACGGGTCGGACTCGGACGGCGACGAGGAGTGCAAGTTCGAGGCCTACGAGTCCGCCGCGGCGTCGCGCGGAACCGCGCTTTTTTGATCGAAAATTTTGGCAGGTCCATCTACGTCGAGGAGGACGCGACGTCGCCGTGGGTGTCGCTCGAGGCCCACGCGCGCGTGCGCGCCGTCGTCGACAACCTGCGCCAGGAGTTCTACGGCGTCGTGTCGGCGGGCCAGAACGTCCCGGGCCCGGGGCGGAAAGCATCGGGTGTCTCGTTGCGCTCGCGGCCGTCCGAGGATCGGCGCTTCGAACGCGCGCCGAGAGACGAGGACGCGACGCTCGACCGGGACGCTCGAAGCACCGCCCGCGCCGCCAGGTCTGGGTCGGCGAGCGGAGCTGGGACCAGCGGGGCCCCTTCGCGCTGAGCGACCGCGACGCCGCGGAGATCTACGGCAAGGTCGTCTTCTGGGAGGGCGCGGACGCGGACCTGTCCGCGCGCGCGGGCGGCGACTTCGCGGACCTCGAGGTGTCGGCGCCCGAGGACTGGCTCCGGAAGCCGAGCTCCATCTCGCTCTTCCCGAGCGGCCGCTGCGGCGCGACGCGCGCGTACCTCGCGGCCGAGATCTCGAAGCGCGTCGAGGACCGGTCGACGCGCGTCGACGCGCTCCGGAGCGGCGACGCGGCCCTGTCGGCGTCGGACTCGGCGCGCCTGATCGTCGACAAGTGGCTGCGGTTCTGCGACGCCGCGGCGGAGCGCGTCGACGCGCGGCGCCGCGAGGTCACGGCGGCGCTCCGCGCTACCCTGTGTGGAATTCGACCACTGGTTTGGGTGGTCCTGACCAAACTTCAGAATTCTCTAGCTCGATCAAATCGACGTCGATTTGGCTGATTTTGGGACGAATCGATTGCTCTCGTCGAGTTCTCGAAGCCCAGCCAAAAAGCTTGCGTCGAAACTGTCGCATATGCGCACATTGAAGTCGGGTTGAAGATTTGAATTCCACACAGGCGCGCGGCCGCGCGTCGACGCGGTCTTCGGCGTGCACCAGCAGTACCTGCCCAGGGAGGGCCCGGGCGCGGCGAGCTCGCGGTCCATCGGCCGCGGCGACCAGGGCAGGACAAGAGTGCGACATGCCCAACTTCAGAGGCTCCGATCTCGGCCGTTTTCCGCTCGTTTCGGCTGATTTTTGGACGAGCGATCATCTCTCGGAACGGTCTCGAAGCGCGGATGCTTTTTCCGGAACGCGCGCGCGCGGAACACTCACGTTGAAGCGACGTTGAATCTCTCGTTTCCCGCCCAGGCGGCGACGAGCTCGTCGCGTACCCGGACTGGGCGCCGCAGGCGCGGCCCGGCGCCGTCGCGGAGGTCTACTGCGCCAAGAACGCGTCGGTCCGCTGCAAGCTCCGCGTCGACGTGCTGCGCCGGCTCCTGGACCGCTTCCTCGCCGCGAAGCTCGGGTCCGCGCGCGCGGTGCCCGCGGCGACGCTCGACGACGCGAACGACGAGGCCGAGGCCGCGCTCGCGGCGCGGCCGGGCCGCATCCCGAAGCGGAAACGGCCGCAGGCCCGCGGCGACGGCGACGACGAGCGGCCGCCGGCCTTCCTGAGCAAGGTCTTCTCCATGCTGCTGCGCTACGACGACCTCGCGGGCGACGCGGGCCAGCACGGCGCGATCCCCGCCGCCGTCTTCGACGTGCTCCGGCGCTGGGGCTGCGACGCCGAGTGCTGCGCGACGCCCTTCAACGCGACGCTGGGGAGCTACTGCTCGCCCTTCCGCGACACGGACGCGCCCTTTGGGAGCGTGGGCTCGTTCTTCGCGTTCGAGCCCGCGAGCGGCTGCTACGAGATCAACCCGCCCTTCACGCTCAACTCCGACGTCGTCGAGCGCCACCTGCGCACGCTCCTCGACGCCGCGGAGCGCGGCGGGCGGCCCCTCATGTTCGTCATGGTCCACGCGGCCGCGCACGCGCGCCACGCGCGCGACGGCGCGACGCGGGCGCTTCCCGTCGACCGAGCCCCGCTTCGAGAACGCTCCGAGAGACCATCGCCCGTCCACACATGAGCCGAATCGAGCGGAATCCGGGAGCCTCGGGAACGTCCCGCGCTCGCAGGCGCGCGACGGGCCGTGCGCGCGCTACCTCCGCCGCGACTTCCTGCTCGCCGCGGGGGCGCACCACTACCGCGAGGGCAAGTTCTACGCCCGGGCCCTGCCCCGCGCCTACGTGCCGCCGATGCCGTCCATCGTGCTCTTCCTCGCGACGGACGCGGGCGCGCGGCGGTGGCCGGCGACGCGCGAGCTCCAGGCCGGCATCGAGGACGCGTTCGCCTGGCCGCTGCGGCGGCCTCCGGGTGGCGCGGAGGCGCCGGGGGGGCGGGTGCAGCTCTAATAGCGATGCTCGCGGTCGCATCTACGGCCGCTGATTCGTTGGATAACGCGAAGCTCGACCAAGCCTCACATCCCCTGCACGTTCCCCGGTGCCACAGTCGTGTCGGCTGTGTACACCCGCGATCGAGTCAGCCGGTATTCGTTATCCAGCCCCGAGGAGCCGGGCCAGGCCGAACACCGGCCGTGAGTCGCATTCACATTCAAGTTCTTATTATTATTATTATACAAGTTAGCATGAGATCAGCGTCGCGCGGGCGGTCGGTCGTTCGTAGTCGAACCGGCCGAGGCTTTCCGCGATCGCGGGTGGTGTCACAGCCGAGGCTGGACACGGCTGTGGCACCGGCGGGGGATGTGCAGGGGGTCGAGCTTCACGAGAGCGCGGCGGCGGGCGGAGGGGGAGCGCTGCGGCGGCCCGGAGGGGCGGCGGCGCGCGGGGGCAGCCAGGGGCTGCGCCGACGTGTCGTCGGCGCGGAGGACGTGCTGGCCGTGGTGTGCGGAAGGCGGGGGGCCGGGGTGGTCGAGCTCGAGGTAGGCGCGGGAGCGCCTAGGCGGACTCCTCCTTGGCGGCCTTCTCGTGGAGGTTCGTCTCCGGGAGGCCGACGTTGACGCCCGTGAGGGCCTTGGTGATGGTGGAGATGTCCTCCCAGGACTCGACGATGGGCAGGCCGATGATGACGACGGACGCGAAGAAGCCCCAGGCGATGACGATGAAGATCCAGAACGAGAAGTACGTCTTGGAGAACGTGCCCGCGGGCGTCGAGAGCGCGGGCCAGAGGACGCAGAGCACGAAGGACACGCCCCAGCCGAACTTCTTGATCCAGTTGAGGGCCGGGAGGAGCTTGGCCTCGGAGAGCTCGTCGGGGTCGAGGCCGCTCTGGTCGTTGTCGAGGAGCTCGATCGCCTTCATCGACTTGAAGTCGTAGTTCTGGGGGTTCATGGCGGAGATGGCGTAGCACACCATGCCGGACACGACGATGGAGCAGACGTTGCCCGCGAGCATGGACTCGAGCGTGCCGAGGCCGTCCTTGTCGAGCGGGTCGCCCAAGGCCGTCGCCGTGACGAGCCACGCGACGTAGCCCGCGACGCAGCCGGACCAGGCGCCGGCGATGGCGCCCTTCTCCGAGATGAGCGGGTTCGTGAGGCACCACCAGACGGGCACGACCGCGCAGCCGATGTGGATGCCCATGAAGCCGTAGACCCAGCCGAGGCCGATGCCGATGTACCAGAGGCACGTCGCGAGGACGCCGGAGAAGCAGCAGTAGAGGGGGATGACGATGCGCGAGATGCGCACGATGTCCTCGCCCGTGCAGGCCGGGTTGAAGAAGGGCTTGTAGACGTCGTAGGACACGAGCGACGACACGGCGATCGCCTCGGCGGAGCCCGTCGAGATGATGGCCATGAAGAGCATGATGGCGATGGCCCAGCCGCCGCCGGCGCCGAGGAGGTGGACGGCGACGGCCGGGGGCACGAGGCCGTTGCCCGCCTCCTCCTTGGAGATGGGGAGCTGGATCGCCGTCGCCGCGAGGCCGAGCGACGACGCGAGCGAGAAGGGGATCGCGAACCAGACCATGCCGCCGAGCATGTAGCCCTTGTGGGCGGCGGCGGGCTTGGCGGCGATGGCGGACTGCCAGTAGGACTGGTCGCAGAAGACCGTGCCGAAGTTGCCGACGATGTTGATGACGCCGAACATGAGGCCCTGGAGCGAGATCATCGTGAGGTACGAGCCGCTGTCCGCGTCGACGCCCGCGTTGCCGTCGACGCCGCCGCAGGCGAAGAGCTTCGTGCACGTGGGGGGGTCGTCCTCGAGGCAGTCCGTGAGGTCGCCGTCCTCCTCGGCGTAGAGGAAGAGCTCGGGGAAGATGTCGGCGGGGTCGGCGGCGTCCGGGTTGAAGCTCGGCGACGAGAAGCCGTCGAAGTCCTCGGAGAAGATGTGTTTGCAGTCGCTCACGGAGTAGGACGTCGTCTTCTTGAGCATCTCCCAGATGAGGTCGCTGGAGAACTTGGACACGTAGATCGTGTAGATCATCATGAGGAGCACGACGAAGATGATCGACGTGTGGATGTAGGACGCGAGGAACGTGGACTTGAGGCCGCCGTACATGGTGTAGGGGATCACGGAGATGGGGATGAGGAAGGACGCGACGATGGTGTGCATGCCGCAGAGCGCGTTGATCGTCGCCGCGCCGCCGAGGATGAGCATCGACGTCACGATGAGGTTCGCGGAGAAGCCGAAGAAGAGGAAGGTGTAGTGGGCGCCGGGCCAGCGGGCCCGGACGATCTCGACCATGGTGTGGGCCGTGGGGCACTTGCGCTTGATCTCGATCGCGAGGATGCCGAAGAGGAGCACCTGGATCGTCGCGCCGGACGCGTACCAGAACGGGCCGGACACGCCGAAGTTCCACGCGACGTTGGACGACTGGAGGAGCGTCGCCGCCCAGGTCCACTGGGAGACGATGACCGACGCCGTGAGGCCCGTCTTGACGGAGCGGCCCGCGGTGTTGAAGAACTCGGACGAGACCTTGCCCGAGCGGTTGAACGTGACCTCGAGGTACGTGAGGAGCACCGCGAGGAGCGTCATGCCCACGCCCATGCCGACGACGATGATCCACCCGGACGCCTGGCTGAGGGGGGCCTTGCCGCCGAAGAAGGAGTCCTCGCCGAAGTACTCCCGGGGCATGTGCGTGAGGTACGGCGTGCCGGACGAGTCCGTGGGGTCGGTCACGCATGTTTCCCAGTTGACCATGGTGCTACGGAAGGTTTTGGTCGGGTTTGAGGGGCTTTTTGAGCCGTTTGAGGGGTCGGGGGGGGGGGGCGGTGGGGTTCGAAGGCGTTCGGACCGAAAATATCCAAGTCTTCCGCGGGCGATTGGGTGGTTTTGGTGCGAAGGGGGGGGTGGCCGGGTGCACCACGGGGTGTGCGGTGGGGTTGGTGAGGCGGGTGGGGGGTCTGAGGGGTCCCCGGTATTTTTTTCGCGGGCTTCGCCGGCCCGAAGCGCTTAACGTTTTTTTGACGGGCGAGCTCGCCGCGGGGCGCCCCCGGTCGCCGCGGCGGCCGGGAGGGGGTGGAGCGGGGACCCGTGGGCGGCGGGAGGGGGTCGTGCGCACCTTGTATTATGTCCCAGAGAAGAGCAGTATTAACAGATCGCGGATGCCTGAGTCGATCGAGGTCGACCGCCCGAGCAGAGGGCGCGCCGAAACAAATTAACATGCAACTCTGACTCAGACGCCGCCAACCGCAACACTGAGGCCCTCGAAGGCCGCCGAAATATTGACCTACTCTTCCACTCGCATTCGCCGAAGTCCGCGCCGAGGGGCGTCGATATCTCGATGGATGTTCCAAAGCACTGATCCTGCGTCGTCGATGCCAGTGGCGGCTAAGCGAGTTGGGTGCACTACAAGTAACAACAAACATGTGATTTACAGCGCGAGTCCGGACCGGACCGAGTCCGTGCCGAGACGGACTCGCTCGGAGGGCGAGCGGAACCGACGCGCGCGCGCGGCCGTGAGCGACTCGACGGCCGCGAGCGACGGCCGCGAGCCGCGGTCTCGAGCTCGACTTGTCCGACGTCGAGTCGCCCTCGCGCCCGCGCCCTCGCCCTCGCCTCCGCCCTCGCCGTCGACCTCGTCGTCTATCGCGGCAGGGTGCTCGCGGCGGGGTCCGGCGAATCCGTCACCGGGTCGGGCGAAGCCGTCGCGCCCGTCAGGGCGCGGGCGCGAAGTCGGCGTCGGCTCCGTCGCGACCGTCAGGGCGCACGACGTCCTCCCAGAAGTCGATCGGGATGGGCTCCGGCTCCGGCGGCGCCGCGCCGGCGGCGTCGGACGGGGTAGAAGGCGCGACGACGGGGATCACCTTCCGGCCGCCGCACCAATTCGCGCAGCAGTCGCCGTCCTCGTCGTCCGCGCCCGCCGACAACAGGATCTTGCACGGCCAGAGGCACATTTTGACGAGCATGAGCACCGCGCACAACCAGACCCAGGGGGGCGACCCGAGCGTGTAGTTGATCACGGCGTTGAGGCGCCCGTCGATGAACGAGTAGCCGCCGCGGGCGGTCCGTCGCACGCATTTCACGAGGACCATGCGTGCCGACGGCGCCGACGACCGCCGACGGTGCGGAGGCGGCCGTCGGTCGCGACCACGCCGGCCGACGGTCCGGAGGTCGCGACGACGCCCCCACGCCCGCCGACGAGTTTCGCCACTCAGGCCTCGAGCCGGTGCTCGCCCAGTTCCCCGCCCGGCAAGGCCTCCAACAAGACCAGGCCTGAGACCCCTGCGCCTCCAGCAGGCCTCCCAGCAGGCCTCCCAGCCAGGAGGCTGCCAGGTGCTCAGCCCAAGGCCAGGACGCCTCCCAGACGACTCGAAGAAGCGTCTGGAAGCACCACCTTTCGGACTGCTCCGGGACGACTCCGGCGCCCGCGACTCGGAGCGCCCCGAGCGCGCTCCGGCTACCCCCGCGCGTCCTCGGAGGAAGTCCCACGCCAGCCTCAAGATGGCCGGTGCCCCCGCCGCAAAGGAAAGCCCGCTTACTCGCCGAGGAACCGGTCCGCGTCCTTGGCGTCGGTGAAGCGCGGCGGCCGCTTGCCCGCGATGTTGTAGCGGTTGTCGGCGATGGCGTCGTAGGCCGCGTCGGCGACGGCCTTCGGGATCACGGCCTGGCCGAGGGTCGAGAGGGGCGTCGTGACGCGCAGGCGCCGGCCGATCTCGAAGACCGCGTCGGACTTGACGTGCGCGCCGTCGGCGGTGACGAGCACGATCGACGAGATGTCGTCGGGCCGCCGGCCGGACCGCTCGAGCAGCGCGCGCCCGACGTCGGACTGGAGCGCGCAGAAGCGCACCGCCTTCTCGCGGTCGTTGGCGAGGACCCAGTCGACCCAGAAGTTGCACATCCGGCAGACGCCGTCGTAGAGCACGATCGGGCGCGTGTCCGTCGCCGCGAAGGGGTCCGCGACGGGCACCGCGCGCAGGCGCGTTGCGCGGTGCTGTGGAGGGCGCGAAAGGTGCAGCGCCGCAACGATGGAGAGCAGCGACGCCAGCCGAAGCATCGATGAGCTGGCCATCTCAATTGCGGCGTCCGATCGGCTTCACCGTCGCGGCACCATGCCGTCCGCGGCGGTCGTTAAGGAGGCCTTAATGAGGCCTTTACGGCACCGCGTCTCGCCGCCGCGCCGCGCTTCCGCGCAATGTTGGGGGGGCCCTTGGGTGTCTTACAGGCGCCTCGTTCAGGGCTTCCTCGCGGCGCGCAATGTGGAGGTCTTACGGAGAGAGCGCGACCGACGTCAGGCCGCGGCGGCCACTTCGGCGGCCAGGAGCGCCTGGGCGAGGCGGTGCTTCGGGAGGTCCGTCGCCCGGAGGCACTTCCTCTGGACGAAGACGGGCGTCGCGAGGACCGCGCGCGCGTGGACCGTGTTCGTGCGCTGGTACTTGCTCGGGCGGTTCGTCGCCGGCCGGCTCGGGACGCGCGACGAGGAGCCCGACGACGACGTCGACGGCGGCGTCGCCAAGGGCGCGACGACGGCCGCGGGCGCCGGCGCCGCCGACGCGACGGCGGGGAGCGCCGCGTCGGCCCGCTCCGCGGCGCGGGGCTCGTCGGCCTTCTTCGCGGCGGCGGCGGCGAGCGCGGCCCCGGCGCGGATCTCGGGGACGCCGGCCGGCGCGGCGTCCGCGGGCGACGCGGCGTCCGCGGGCGACACCACCCCCGCGGGCGACGCGGCGTCCGCGGGGCTCGCGGGCCGCGTCGCGCCCGCGCGCCTTTCGCCCGCGCGCGGCGTGACGTAGGGCCCGTGGCGCTTGTGCGACGCGCCCGCGGCGTCGTCGGTCCAGCCGTGGCCCCTGCGCATGGCCTGTTCGCGCGCGACGTTCCACTGCTCCCGCGAGTAGTCCGGGGGCATGGACTGGTGCACGAACTCCTCCAGCGTCAGGTTCGCGCCGTCGGCTTTGGCGTACGTCGCGAAGACGGCGTCGGCGTCGTCGGCACCGCAGGGGATCATGAGGATGCGCGCGAGCACGTGGCGGAACTCGTCGCGCGAGATGCGGCGCTGTCCGTCGCCCTCGAGGTGGGACACGCGGCCCTTGGGGTCCGCCGTCGCGAAGACTTTGACGACGGTCGTCAAAGCGCGGCTGTCGGACGCGGCGAGTTTCGCGACGTGGTGGCCGACGGCCTCGCGGAGCTTCGCCGGGTCGCGGCGGCTCGCGGGCGGTTTGGGCACGTGGTCGTTGGACGCGCTCGCCGGGTCGCGGCGCTCCGCGGCGGTCTTTGTCATTTCGTCGCGGCGCGCGACGTACCACGGCGCCCGCGCGTAGTCCCTCGGCATCGCCGCGGCGACGAAGGCCGCGACGGTGACGACGGGCTCGCCCCCGGCGATGCTGGAGAAGAGGGCGTCGCTCACGTCGCGCGCCAGGGGCAGGTGCAGCGCCCGGAGCGCGAGGCGGTGGAACTCCGCGGCGTCGAGCGCGCGGAAGCCGAGCTTCTCCAAGCGTAGCGCGACGCCCGACACGAGCGCGCCGTCGCGGGCGACGAGGGAGCCGAGCTTCGCCTGGAGCCGCTTGCGCGCGTCGGCGACGGCCGCGTCGCCGACGCCGCCCGGCGCCGCGCCGCCGCGGAGCCGGATCGCGATCTCCGCGACGGAGAGCACGCCGACGCCGTCGACGTCGAGGCCGTCGAAGGCGTTGTCCGCGGCGCCGGCCGGCGCCGGCCGGTCCAGGAGCCGCGCCGCGAGCGCGCGGAAGCTCGGGCGGTCGACGATGACCTGGGCCTTGGACATCTGCTCGTCGACGGGCACGAGGTGCGCGGGCACGCAGCGGAAGAGCGCGTCGACGCTGGCGCCCAGCGTCGCGTCGCGCCGCAGCTGCGCCTCCATCGCGTCGCGCACGGCGTTGGACATGGCTCGAGTGCGTGTGTGCGTGTGCTTTGGAGATGTGTGCTTTGGATCGCGCTGCCATCCTGTCTTGCGCCGATGCCGGGCCGTGCGAGGCATGGAGGGCAGCTCCGCGAAACGACGTTGAGGTACACTTTTAGAGAGTTTTCCTAGTTAGAGGATCCCGATCCTGAGAGTATCCCTAGTTAGGCTCCTCCTCTCCTCCCTTGTACACTAGTGTTGTACTTTAATTCTCCACGGTTTATGCGTAAGGAGAGTTGCGGGGCTGAACCTAAAAAGGGAATTCCTCGTAGTCAGTGTAGTGAACTTGAAAAAGGGATCTACCTGGATTGAGTAGCTTCGTGATCCCCCATCATCCCCGTAATTTACATTACCCTGTTCCCTCACTATCGCGACGTCACACTATGGAGATGACACTGCACTACCCCGTAACGTTGATCTCAACGTTCCTTAGTACCCTAGTTTAGGGTATTTCTCTCTAGGTTATGGTTGCCCTAGCGCATCCATCTCCGTGAAAGTCGCTGCCCGCGCTCATCTGTACGCGCCCTTCGTCTTCGCTCCCGTCCCGTGCTTGGTAAGCAGGGGGGTGTCATGGCTCAGGACCCATCAGGTCCAACAGGCGCTGCTGAAGCATCAAGCGCTGTGCCTTTTAGTGCTTACCTAGCACTGAAAGTGGAGCTAAAAGATCGAAATCTTGCAAGGCTTAACACTCTCTTAGCAGAAAGTACAGAGGATGATGATCCTGTCAGACTACGTTCAACACAAACTCATCGTTCATACTAACCGACCATAAATATGCTTCTTTGGCTACTTGTATTGAATGTGCTTTGTTGAGTATAGTATTTCTTTGGGTTATGAGCACTCCAGTTTGAGATAGATGATCTCCGATGTTTGGTGTTATCATTTCTGACCTATTTCAAACTCTAGAATTGAAGTTTCAATTCTGGGGGTGTAGAGAGTTTTCCTAGTTAGAGGATCCCGATCCTGAGAGTATCCCTAGTTAGGCTCCTCCTCTCCTCCCTTGTACTTTAATTCTCCACGGTTTATGCGTAAGGAGAGTTGCGGGGCTGAACCTGAAAAGGGAATTCCTCGTAGTCAGTGTAGTGAACTTGAAAAAGGGATCTACCTGGATTGAGTAGCTTCGTGATCCCCCATCATCCCCGTAATTTACATTACCCTGTTCCCTCACTATCGCGACGTCACACTATGGAGATGACACTGCACTACCCCGTAACGTTGATCTCAACGTTCCTTAGTACCCTAGTTTAGGGTATTTCTCTCTAACTTTTACCCCCGGGAACTTCAACCAAAACGAGACAAGGGACGCAAAAGCATCCATAGGACGCAAAAACAAATACCAGAACCTGTTAGCCGCAGAAGAGGAAGGTCTGGATGAGCGGGACGACCTGGAGGATGGAGCCGTCGGAGAACATGTCCTTGACGTCGTCGAGCGACGTCGCGGAGAGGAGCTTCTCGGACCGGTAGACGAAGATGGCCGCCGCGAGGATCGGGAGGAGCGAGAGGTCCTCGAAGCCCAGGATGCGGTCCCAGAGCAGGAGGACCTGGTCCACGTCGAGCAACCCGACGAAGCCGAACTGGATCCAGGGCAGCGCGACGGCGAGCGGGTCGACGCCGATCTGGACGAGGTAGAAGAAGAGCTTCGGGTGGTTCTCGATGACGAGCTGCTCGAAGAGCTTGCAGAGGGGCAGGAGCGTGCACTCGGCCGTGCGCATGACGTTGAGCTTGCACCAGAACTTGGCGTACATGGCCCGGAGGCAGTAGTAGATGGGCTCCTCCCGCTCGTAGACGAAGGTGAGCGGCGCCGTGTAGGACACGAAGCCCCGGAAGGGCTGCACGGCGCAGGGCGGCACGGCGGAGCCGGCCTTCCACGCGGGCCCGTCCGTCGGCTCCTTGTGCTTCGCCGCGAGGCGCGCGTGCGTGCGCACGGCCGAGTTGTGCAACACCCAGGGGTCGCGGCTGAACGCGAGGACGACGTTGCCGAGGGCCTCCTCGAAGGGGAAGTAGTAGTCGTTGTCGGCGACGTGCTGCACGTCCATCTGGAACAGCTCGTCCGTGACGAGCTCGATCTTGTCCACGTGGGCCTTGAGCCGCGCGTAGTAGGCCTTCTCGGCCTCGGAGCAGCCCTGCGGGTGCTCGACGTTCGGCAGGCCCAGCAGCACGCGGTAGATCTGGGGCCGCAGCGACGGCGGCACGCCGCGCCGCGCGTAGCGCCGCGCGAGGGGCACGTGGCCCCGCGCGAGGCACCGCTTCCCCAGCGCGTGCCACTCGTCGCTGAAGCGGTCCGCCTGGGCGTCGCCGAGCTTCTCGTCGAGGCCGTACCTGCGCGGCGGCCCCGGCTCCGACGGCGGCTTTCCGGGAACGGCCCGAGAGCGACGCGGCGCCCGCGCTGCCGCTTCGACGGGTGGAGCTCGCGGAACGTCTCCCGGAGCTTCCGCACGGGCTCCGTGTGGAGCTGGAGCTTCACGACGCCCCAGAGGCTCGAGCCGGCGCCGCCCGCGGCGCCCGACGGCGCCGCCGCGCCGCCCGCGGACCGGTTCGGCGACTCGACGTGCGCGATCGCGTCGAGCAGGTCCTCGCCTGGGAACAGAAATAGTCAACACGACTTCAACGTGGACATTTCGAGAGAAAGCGGCGCGTCCAAACATGAGCCGAACGAAAAGATTCGACGCGACGTCACCTCTCAACTGAGAACTCGAGAGAACGCGACTCGCCGAAACGGCGTCGACGCGACCGAGACGTTCGAAGTGTCCTCGGAACGGCTTCGCGTTCCCGCGCGGGTCCGCGCTGTCGAAGAGGAAGCGCAGGGGCGCGCCGCTCGGCGTCGGCGGCAGGAGCACGCCGTCGGCCTTGTCGCCGCGCTGCTCGCGCTCGCGCACGAGGGGCTGGTGCCGCTCGCGAGCGATGGCCTCGAGCTCGTCGTTGATCGACGCCTCCCACTGCTTCCGCGCGGAGACGACGGACGCGAGGGGCTCCGTCTCGCGGCGGCCGCCCCGTCGCTTCGGCTCGCCGTCGTCGGGCCCGTCCTTCGCCGCGGCGACGAGGGCGTAGACCGCGTGGCGCAGCTCCTTGGCCCAGCCGAGGTCCTCGAGGAGCGCGCGGATGGCCTCGACGTTCGGCGTCGCGAGCGGCTCGTCGCCGCCGCCGCGGCCGTTGGACCCCTGCTTCAGGCCCCGCGTCCGCTTCGCGCCCTCCGTCGCGCTCAGCGACTCGGACACGGCGCTCTTGGCCTTGCGCAGCACCAGCGTCGACTGGAGCGCCTCGACGACGGCGCGCCGCATCTCCGGCACGTCGCCGGCCGCCGCCGCGCCGTCGCGCGCGTCCTTGGAGGCGCGGCGCATGGGCCGGCCGGGTCGCCGCCGCCGGACGGCGGCGGCGGCGGCGCGGCGCGGCGCGCGACGACGCGGGCTGCCGCGACGGGCAGCTCCTGTACAAAAAGGCACCGTGCACCACGGTTGAAAAAGGCAACGATTAACCGCTAGGGCGTCGGCGGCGCGACGGTCTCGGAGAGCGCGCGCCGTTTCGGGCGGAGGAGCTTCTTCGCCTGGCGCTCCGTCGGCTGGCGGCCGCCGCGGCGCAGGGCGCGCGAGTTGGCGAAGCGGTCGCGGATCTTGCGGACCGCGTGGGGCATGCCGTACTGGCGGAGGGGCTGCCAGGCCCAGGCCGGGTCGTCGTCGCCGTCGCTGTCCGTGTCCGCCGTGCCGACGTCGCGGCTGGACCGCGCGTCCTTGACGAAGAGCACGGACGCGTGGGACAGGGGCAGGTCGTCCCACGCGGCCTTGGCCTCCTCCGTCGTGTCGTAGTGGCGCGCGTGCCACGCGCCGTGGTCGTCCCAGACGATGACGCTGGGCCCGGACGGCTCGGGCGCCTCGGGCCCGCCCTGCAGGTTCGCGTACAGGCGCCGCGCGCGGTCGTCGAGCGCCGCGGCGCCGTCGCCGAGGCGGTGCGTCCACGCGGGCGGCGGATCCGCGCCGAGCTCGCCCGCGAAGACGATGCAGAACGAGTTGCAGTTCTTCCGGAAGACGTCGTAGGTGCAGCCGGCCCAGAGCGGGGCGATGCGCAACAGGCAGTTGAAGACGTCGACGCGCGACCGCCGCGTAAAACCGAGCGGCACCGACTCGGCGTAGACGTGGGGCCGCGCCGATTTGGGCCCGCACGCGAAGATGCCGCAGGCGTCGTTCTGCTCGCCCATGGTCGCTCCGAAGCTCCACTCGAGGCCGTGGACCTCGACGGCCGTGTGGAACGCGCCGCTCGACCGGTTGAGCACGCCGTTGAGCAAGGCGGCGCCGCGGAACTTGACGTCGTAGACGTGGAGCGTCACGGGGTACGCGCCCCCCGCCGCCTCGTCGTCGTCGTCGTCGTCGTCCTCCTCGTCGTCGTCGAAGGACGTCGCGCCGCCCTCGGACGCGCACCACTGCGAGAACGCGTGCTCGATGGACCGCGGCTCGTAGGGCGGCCGGTCGTCGACCTCGGGCCCGCCGCCGACGCCGCGCGCGCGGTCGAGCCAGAGGCCCACCTTCCAGCGCGTCGGGTCGTCCCAGGTCGTCTCGCCCGTCTCCTCGTTGTGATAATAATATTCATCCGTCGCCGGGTCGACCCACCGCACCCAGCCCTCGGGCAGCTCCGTGCCCCTCCCGCCCTCGAAGGACGGCACCTGCAGGGCGCTCATGAGCCCGGCGTCGTGCCGCGCGCGGAGCGACGACAGGTTCGCGGAGCGCGCTTCCTCGCAGCGCGCGTCGCGGCCGCCGAGCGTCGGTCGAAGCCGCGCAGAGCACAGACGTCGAGCGTCGATTTGCCTCCTTGCAGTGAACGTTGACGTTATTAGCTGACACTCGGGGCAGCCGCCGATGGCCGGGCGCCCGCGACGATGGGCGGCCGCGGCCGCCTGCGCCGCGACGCTCGCCGTGGCGTCGCTCTGCTACGCCGGCGGCGGCCTCGGGGCCGCCGTGTCCCGGCGCTTCGACTTCGGCGCCGTCCTGACGAGCGCCCTGTCCATCGAGGCCGGCGGCGCCGACTACGCGACGCGGCCGGGCGTGGGCTACCCCTGGCTCGTCGAGGGCCGCGTCGTCGAGCCCTGGCGGGAGACGACGCTGAGCGCCCGAGCCTACGACGAGAGGCGCGACTACAGCTGGACCGTGACGGACGCCGCGGGCGCCGCGTGGACCGCGTCCGGCGTCGAGGTATCTCGGACCTTCACGGCCCTCGGCCAGTACGCCGCCGTCGTCGCCGAATCCAACAGCGACCGCCGCGCGACGCGCACGCTCTACTGCCGCTACGTGCGCCGCGACGTGCGGGACCTGACGGACGAAGACCGCGAGGCGTTCTTCCAAACCTTCGCGACGCTCGCGTCCGTCGGCGCGGCCGAGGGGAAGCGGACCTACGGCGACCGGTACCGGTCCCTCGACGACTTCGTCGCGCTGCACCTCGAGCTCGCCGCGGACCGCGTCGACGACCACATGCACGATGGGCTGGGCTTTCTGACGACGCACGTCGCTTTAACGGCGTTCTTCGAGCGCGGGCTCCAGGCCGTGAACCCCAAAGTCACCGTGCCCTACTGGGACTACACGCGGGACGACGCCACGTTTAAAGCGCTCTACGGAAAGCACACGCCGCTGGACGCGCGGTTCTGGTCGCTCGACGATTTGTGGAGCGACGGCTGGTACGGGTCCGCGGAGAACGGCTTCCACACGGTCACGGCGGGCCGCTTCGCCTACCAGCGCGTGCCGCGGGCGACGAGCGACCACGTCGCGAACCCCTACGGCTACTTGAGGGCGCCCTGGAACGCGAACGCGCGGCCGTTCGTGACGCGCGTGCACCAGCTCTGCGGCGCGGACTCGCTCACGGGCTTCGGCTGGCCGTCCTGCGGCACGCACCACAACCTCACGTTTCAGTCGACGTCCTACTACGCCTGGGCCTGGAAGGCGTCCTACGGCGCGCACGGCCCCGTCCACGCGGCCGTCGGCGGCACGTTCCAGTGCAAGGACGAGTACGACGGCCTGGCGGCCGTCGGCGTGCTCCCCCAGGACGTCGAGTCGCTGCGGGTCATGTCCTTTGTGGTGCTCAAGTCGGGCTGGCGCGCGGGGCTCGTCGAGATGCCCGCGGCGTGCTCGTCGGACGCGCCGCGCGCGGACTGCAAGCCCAAGTGCCCCCTCCTCGAGGACGCGGGCAGGTTCCGCAACATCTCGGCGCTCGAGGACATGTGGCAGGTGCTCTTCATGGGCGCGCGGCTCTCGCGGTCCTACGACCACGACACGAAAGTCGGCGTGCTCAAGGCCGTCTGCACGACGCCCATCGCGCCGGGCGACCAGCTCGAGGCGTCGTCGCCCGTGGACGTGTCCTTCTGGCCCGTGCACCCGACGCTCGAGCGCCTCTACATGTACAAGGCGCTCCTCGGCGCATCGGAGAACGCGACGGCGGGCTTCGATACCACGGCGTGGGCGAACCCGGACGGCCCGACGCAGTACTGCCACAACAACGGCTGCAAGGGCCACCACCCCTACGACGTCGTGCCCTTCCCCGTCCACGCCGAGGCCAACGGCTCAAACTTCGAGGCCCGGTCCCTGACGAACCTCGAGCTGTTCAACGTCCTCGACCCCACGGAGCACCGCCTCCCCTACGTCTACGACGCCTTCTCCTGGGACCACTGCGAGGCCCAGGGCGTCGTCTTCCCGCGACTCCGGGACTCGCACTAATACGATTCGGTTTTCTTGGAGGAATATGAAGTGGAATATGGCCCGCCAGCTGCAATGTCGCTTCAACATGCACCGATAACAGCCTTCCTATGAGGCAGCTTCTGCTCCTCGCGTCGGTCGGCGCCTACGTGCGCGACTGCGGCGATGCCGACATGGACCTGCAGCTCGACGGGGTGCTCCTCGCTGGCTCGCCCTCTGAAGCGGACGTGACCGGCGCGAGCTGCGACGAAGTGATTGCCACGCTATGCGTGCTCGATTGCGCTGTTGAAAAATGCGCGGACGGCTGCGAGGCGGCCTACTGCGCCGTGCCCATCGCCGAGCTCGGCGCGCTGCTCGCGACGGGCGGCGTCCGGTGGTGCTACGGCGACGCGCCGTGTCCCGTCGGCGTCTGGGAGCGAGACGACCTGACCGTCGCGCACGCGTGCCCCGTCGCCTGCGGCCGCCGCGGCGTCGCCTGCGGGCCCGTCTGCTTCCCGAAGCCCGACTCGGCGTCGTGGGCCGGCGCGCACACGCTGCAGGGCTGCGGCGACGTCGACTTCCAGATCATGTACGGCGGCGCGGAGCGGCTCGCGGGCGACTGCTGCCCGGGGCTCCGCGACGCGCCCCGCTGCTGCGGCCAGCGGAGCTTCTCCGACGCCGAGCTCGCCGAGGTCTGCGAGCACTGCCCGAGCTCCTGCGGCTCCTGCTCCGCCGCGCCGTCGTACGCGCCGACGCGCTCGGACGCGCCGACGCGGCGGCCGAGCGCCGCGGCGCCGACGCGCCGACCGACCCGCGCGGCGCCGACGCGGCGGCCGAGCGCCGCGGACGCCGCGAACTCGTGCCGCTGGGCCGACGACGGCGAGTGCGACGAGCCCGAGTTCTGCGCCGTCGGCAGCGACGCGCGCGACTGCGCCCGGACGGCGCCGCCGACGGCCGCGCCGACGCCGTCCGACGACGTCGACGGCGGCGCCCCGCCCCGCGGCGGCGCCGTCGCGGTCGCCGCCGTCCTGCTCGCGTCCGCGGTCCGTCCATAACATACGGCAATAAGCCGACGATGCTGCCTTAAGCGAAGCGCGAGCCCCGCTTCGCGAGGTAGGCGGCGACGGCGGGGAGCGCCGCGACGTGGTCGTAGAGCTTCGTGACCAGCGGGTACGCCGAAGCGCGGTCCGCCGGCTCGAAGAAGCCGCAGTCCTCGACGCCCTCGATGCAGTCGAAGAGGCAGACGTCGGCGTAGCTCAGGGACGGGCCCGCGAGGAAGGCGACGTCGCCGGCCTTGGTGGTCCGGAGCCATCGCTCGAAGGTGGAGAAGCATTTCTCGTACTTGCCCCGGAGGCGGTAGCGGGCCAGCGCGCGCGCGGGAGCGAAACACACGCTGCCGCACAAGACCTTGGTGACCATCCGCGGGATGAACGAGCCGTAGAAGAGCGTGTCGTACATCTCCTGGATGCCGACGCAGGCGGACGTCGCCCGCGCCATGGCCGCCGCGTCGTCGACAGGCGCCAGGCCGGTCCGCGCGGCGATGTACTGCGCCGCGGCGACCGTCTGGCCGATGCTGACGCAGCCGCCCTCGGCCGTCGCGTGCTGGACGATGGGCAGCTGGCCGAACGGGAGCGGGCTCCGGTCGCCGCAGGCCGCGGGCTTGTAGGGCTTGACGCCCGAGGGGAATGGTAGTCGAATGTCTTCAAACTCGACGTCCGCCACCGTCAACAGCAGGCGCAGGCATTCGCCCCGGTTCGCGGCGTCGAAATAGACGACGCGCCAGCCGGACGTCGGTTGAAGCGACGCGGACGCCGTGTAGAGCGGCGACGTCGACATCACGAATCGAGCGCCTGGCAGACGCGCTGTTCGACTCGCTCGTCTGGGAGCCGCTGCGGATCTTCGGCGCTCGCGCCGAACCCGTCGGACGCACCACGACGCCGCACGACGCGAAGATGGGGCAGCCTCGGGGGTGCAACAACGGAGCATGTTGCACGGCAAACAAACCGCGGGTTGCGAAGCTGTCCAGCCACCTCGTCTCCCGAAGCCGGGCATGGAGCTGTTGCCCTAGGAGCTGCCAAAGGGGCCAGGGCCAGGGCACGAAGCATGGAGGCCAACGTCGAGCACCACATGGGCGTCTACGGCGGCTGGGAGTCCAAGTTCGCCCGGAGCGCGTCGCCGGAGCCCCGGGGCCGCGCCTTCGCCGGGCCCTGCGTCTACGTCAACGTCTACGACATCACGGACATCGGCATGTGCGTCGACATGGCGGAGACGATGATTTCGCTCAACAAGCGGCTCCTCGGCGCCTGGGACGGCGGCATCTTCCACGCGGGCGTCGAGCTCGCGGGCGTCGAGTACAGCTACGGCTACTGCGACCGGGGGACGGGCGTCTTCACAAACGACCCCCTCGACGCCTACGGCGCGTCGCACCGGAGCCGCGTGCCCATGGGCCGCTGCGGCCTCGACGCGCGCGCCATCGAGCGGCGGCTCGCGCGGCTCGTCGCGCTCTGGCAGGGCAACACGTACGCGCTGCTCACGCGGAACTGCTGCCACTTCTGCGACGCGCTCTGCGCGGAGCTGGGCGTGGGCCCCATCCCCGCCTGGGTCAACGGCCTGGCGCGGTCCGTCCACGGCTTCACGGACTTCCCCGCGGTCAAGGCGCTCGTGGCGCGCGCGGAGCACGAGCACCCCGCGCTGCGCGCGCACCACCCTGTGTGGAAATCAAATCTTCAACTCGACTTCAATGTGAGCGTATTCGAACGTTTTGACACGAGCACTTCCGCTGTGCTTCGAGAACTCGATGAGAGCAATCGATTCGTCCAAAAATCAGCCGAATCGACGTCGATTTGACCGAGCTAGAGAATTTCAAAGTTTGGCCCCGACATCCCAGCTCACTGGTTGATTTCCACACAGGCACCACCGCGCGGGCGACCTCGGCCGGTCGCGGCGCGGCACGAGCGCGCTGCCCCTCGAGGCCCTCGAGGAGTACAAGGACGCCCTCGGCAGCGACAGCGACGACGACGACGACGACGACGTGTCCATCGCCGTGGGCAGCTCCGCGGACGGCTTCGACGACGTCGACTCGGACGAGTCCTTCGACGACTACGACGACGAGTCCGACGACGCGTCGAGCGCGGGCGCCTCGAGCGACGGCGGGGGCGCCGTCGCGGCGGTGCCCGAGGAGGCCGCCGTCGACTGGCGGTCGCCCGCGCGGCGGCCCGCGCCCCGCGGGCCCGAGCCCGCGGCGCCGCGGCCGCCGCCGGACGCGTGGACGCCCATCTGCGGGCCCCTGGCCCTCGCGACGGCCTGCTTCTCCGGCGACGACGCCGCCGCGCTCCGCGGCGGCGACGCCTACGCGGCGCTGCCGCCCATGGACTACGGCTTCCTCGGCGACGCGGACGTCTCCGGCGCGCGCGACCGCGTCTCCCGCCGGGCCCGGCCGGAGGCCCGGGCCCGGCCGGAGGCCCGCGCCGACGACGGCGCCGCGTCCGAGCCCGACTCGCCGCCGCCGCCGCCGCCGCCGGCCGCGGCGCCCGGCGACGAGCAGGCCCAGAGCCTCGACGAGTTCCTCGCGCGCGTCGAGATCGACGCGCCGGACCTCGCGAGCTCGCCGGACACGTCGCCGGACGCCGCGGCCCCGGCGAAGCGCAAGAGCAAGCTCTGGACCGCGGCGAAGGCGATCCGCCGGAGCCTCGCGCTCGGCCACGCGAAGGCGTGAGCGCGGCCCTAACGTCCTCGGAACCTCACGCGCGCTCGCTTCTTAGAAGACGCCGCGGAGGGCCTCGTTCTCCGAGCGGAGGACCCGGTTCTCCTCGACGAGCGCGGCGACGCGCGCCTGCTGCTCGTCGAGCATGCGCGCGAAGTCCTGCTGCTGGATCTGGAACTGGCGCAGGAGGTCGACGTGGAGGTTCCGCACGTCCTTGCGGATCTCGTCGGCGACGTCGTAGAGCACGGCCTCGAAGCCCGGCGGCGCCGCGGCGGCCGCGGGCGCGGGCGCGGGCCGCGGCGGCGACGCGACGTCCGGGAGCTTCGGCGGCGGCGGCGCGCGGCGCGGCGGCGTCGCGGCGGCGTCGCGCGGCGGCGAGCGGTCGCGCGGCGGCGAGCGGTCGCGCGGCGGCGAGCGGTCCCGCGGCGGCGAGCGGTCGCGCGGCGGCGAGCGGCGCGGCGGCGGCGGCGCGGCGGCCGCGGCCCGGCGCGGCGACGACGCCGCGGACGCGGGCGGCGACGCGCCGGCGGTGCCGAGCGTCGTCACGGACTCGCCGCCGTCGAACGTCGCGTCGTCGCGGCGGCTCCGGCGCGCGCGCGGCGGCGGCGGCGGCGCGTCGACGAAGTGGAGGGCGTGCACGGGCTCGCCGTCGTGGGCGTCGATGGAGGTGAGCGGCTTGGACGTCGACCGGAGGTCGTAGGCGACGACGCGGCCCCTGTCCGTCGCCGCGGCGACGACGCGCTCCGTGGCGAAGGCGACGGCCGTCGCGTCGCCCGCGCCGAAGAGGGCCAGGGCCTTGACGCAGGACCCCGCGTCGACGTCCCAGAAGGCCACGCGGCCGTCGCGCGTCGTCGACGCGACGAATTTCGCGTTCACGGGCGAGAACGCGAGGCCGCGGCGCGCGGCGCGCGCGTCGCCGTCGCCGTCGCCGCCGACGCGGGCGACGAGCTCGCCCCGCGCCGCGTCCCACAACCGCAGGCTCCCGTCGGCGTGCACGGCGCCGAGGATCTGCGGCTTCAAAGGGCTGAATTCCAGGCCCGCGGCGGGCGGACGGCTCGCGCCGTCGTCGCCGCACGCGAGGAGCGCGAGGAGCTGCTTGGACCGCACGCGGTGGAGGAGCACCTCGCCGGCGGCGTTGCCCGACGCGAGCGTGCCCGACGCCGCGTCGAAGCGGCAGCAGCCGATGGCCGACGCGTGGTCGTCGATGGACCTCACCACCCGGCGCCGCTTCACGTCCCAGACGCTCAGCACGCCGCCGTCGCCGCCCGTCGCCACGAGGCGGCTCGTCTTGTCGAAGTCGACGCACCTCAGCCGCTCGCCGCTCCCCGCGTCGCCGAGGCGCAGCGCGACCGCGCCGCCCTCGCGGACGCCGCAGAGCGCCAGATCGTCGCCGCACGACGCGGAAGCCTCGCCCGACGCGCTGAGCCGCGCGCACTCGACGCCGGAGCGGCCGTGCGTGTCCATGACGCACACGGGCACGGCGCCGACGCCCGCCGCCGTGGCGGACCAGATCTTGACGACGCCGCGGCTGCCGTGGGCCGCGCCGCAGGAGGCGAGCATGGTCGGTGGGCGTCTGCTGTGGTTTTAATGTCTGATTTTGGCGTGCGTTGCGTTCGCGCGCGTTGTTGCGGCGTCTACAGGCGCGGTATCTCGCCGTTTGCACTTCGTTTGCGTCGTTCGCGCGCGTCCGAGGCCTCTCTATGCGCTCAAATGTCCACAGTTCAGCGAGGCAAGGGGCAAAGCACCATCGACCTTGCACCGCACGGGCGACCGATGAGTGAGCCGAGCTCCCGCATCCGCGACAGCCTCTCCCAGCGCTCCGCCACGGCCTTGAACGACCCGCCGTCGCTGAAAGTGCGCTCGGAGAAGCCCATCACCAACGCCGAGGCGCTGCAAAACCTCGGCGAGTTCGTCGAGGGCGCGTCCGGCGTCTTCGCGCCGCGCGACGCGACGAAAAACGACCTCCTCAAGATGCAGAAGGCAATGAAGGAGGAGCAGGAGCTGCTCGCGAAGCTGTAACATGCCTCGCTTCGTCGCCGACGACCGGGGGTTTCGGGCGGCTCGAGGCCGCGGCGGCGCCGCGTACGCGGCCTACCTCGTGGTACTTTTCGCTCGCGCTACCACGTTCCTGCAGTTCTTCGTCGTCGCGCGGCGCGCCCGCACGCGCGTCGTCGATTGTGCTGCGTTGTGCTGCCTCGGAATCTCGTCGATGTGCCTGCATTTCGTGCAAAACGTCTGGTGCCGGCTGCCTGGGGACGTGTTCCGGCGCCCGCAGCCCTGGTGCGCGCGCTACGCGTCCGCCGCGGACTCGGCGGCCATCGCCGGCATCGCCGCCGCCGTCGCGTCGGGCGACGGTTTTACGTTCGCGATCACGGCGCTCGTCGTTTTCGCCTGGGACCTCGTCGTCGTCCGCCCGGACGACATCTGGCCGCGGCGCTACGTGCGCGCGGCCGCCTTCGCCGTCGTCGCCGCGGTGACGCTCGCGCGCCTGCCGCCCGAGACGCGCGCGGCGCACGGCGCCGCGGCCGCGGCGACCGCGGCGCTGTTCCCCTGCGTGATCAAGTCGCGGCCGAACCTGGTCGTCAACACGGCCTTCGCCTGCGCCTGGCACGCGGCCACGGCGCGGGGTGCTTTGTACGCGCTGGGGCTGCGGGAGTAAGGAGGCATAAGGAGGAGTCGACGGCGTTTGCCCCCGGCCGGCCAATCCTTGCCACGGCGCTCGTCGACGCGTCTCCGCCGCCGCCGCCGCTCGTCGTCGGCGCAGCCCAGCTACGCCATCCGCGCCGCGGTCGCACTACTCCTCTGTACATACGCGTCGCCGCTGCCGCGGATCCGCCCGCGCGCGCCGCCGTTGAGGATGGACGGCGACGAGGAGCGCAAGGAGGAGGGCGAGGTCTGGAGCCCCGAGGGCAAGTCGCAGGACGACTTCATGCTCAAGGACGAGTGCATCGTGCTCGACTACGGCGACAACGTCATCGGCCACGACAACAAGTACAACTGCCACAAGTTCACCGTGGGCATGCCCAAGGGCATCCTGCACCGCGCGTTCTCGGTCATGCTCTTCGACGTCGACGGTAAGCTGCTGCTCCAGCAGCGCGCGGGCGTGAAGATCACCTTCGCCGACGTCTGGACGAACACGTGCTGCAGTCACCCGCTCCACGGCATGTCGCCCAAGGAGGTCGACGACCCGGGCGCGACGCTCGGCGGCGACCCGGCCGGCGTCAAGGTCGCCGCGGTCCGGAAGCTCGACCACGAGCTCGGCATCGCGCCGGGCGTCCTCGACCCGAAGAAGTTCACCTTCACGACGCGCGTCCACTACTTCGCCGCGGACCTCAAGACCCACGGGCCCGACGCGCCCTGGGGCGAGCACGAGATCGACTACCTCCTGATCTACAAGCTCGACTACCCGGGCTCCGAGCTCCAGCTCGCGCCGCACCCGCACGAGGTCTCCGCGACCAAGTGGGTCACGCAGGAGGAGCTCTTCCGCGAGATGGAGGCCAAGGACAGCATGCCCCTCTGGTCGCCCTGGTTCGAGATCATCGCGAAGAAGTTCCTCAAGACGTGGTGGGAGGACTTGGACGGCGTCGTCGCGGGCGAGCGGTGCGCGGACTACGGTTCCATCCACCGCTTCGACTGCCCGGACTGGATGGGCGGCCAGGGCAAGTGCGAGCCCTTCCTGGACGAGTTGCAGCGCCGGGTGGCGGCGTCGACGCCCGAGGCCGTGGAGGGCGTTTTGGCGGACGCGTTCCGCGAGCAGATGCTCAAGGACGTCGCGTCCACGACGGCCGTCTTCGGCGCGTCGGGCGCCGAGATGAAGCAGGGCGCCTACGGCAAGGTGCCCACGCACAAGACGTCGAAGCTGAAGCAGCTCCTGCGCCCCTTCGAGGTCACGTCCGCGCTGAAGCTCAAGTTCCTGCCGAGCTTGGCGGGGTTGAAGGACAACCTCGGCGCGGGCGCGTCGGGCGACGTCAAGTTCTGCAACGACATGCTCTGCAAGGTGTCGCGGTCCTTCGCCGCCGTCATCCAGCAGCTCCCGGCGGGCTGCTGCATCGACATCTGCGTCTTCTACCTCGTCTTACGCGCGCTGGACACCGTCGAGGACGACATGACGTACTACAAGGGCCGGCTCGACGTGAAGCAGGCGGAGCTGCGGTCCTTCCACGAGGCGCGCCTGATGAACCCGGACGCGCCGCCCATCATGGGCTGCGGCGAGGGCGACGAGCGCGTGTTACTGGAGCAGTTCGGCGCCGTCGCGCGCGTCTTCGCGACGCTGCCCAAGGAGTCGCGCGACGTCATCAAGGACATCACGGACAAGATGGGCGGCGGCATGGCCGACTACGTGACGGCCGACTTAGTCCAGGGCACGAAGGACGAGGACGCCTACAACCTCTACTGCCACAACGTCGCGGGCCTCGTCGGCGAGGGCCTCACGGGCATCTTCGTCGGCCGCGGCTACGAGTCCGAGGAGCTCGCCGAGGGCGGCCTGCTCAAGTGGCCCTTCTGCGGCGAGGACAACAAATTGGGCCTGGCCAACTCCATGGGCCTCTTCCTCCAGAAGACGAACATCATCCGCGACTACCTCGAGGACTACGTCGACGGCCGCGCGTTCTGGCCGAAGACCGTCTGGTCCAAGCACGCGACGACGGGCGACCTGGGCGACTTCACGCGGCCCTGCGCGCGCCTCGGCGTCGACAAGGCCTGCCTCAGCGGCTACGCGGCGGAGGTCGCCAAGAAGGGCGCGAGCGACCGCGCGCTCGCGTGCCTCGACGAGCTCATCGCCGACGCGTTGGAGCTCGTGCCGGACAGGGCAGCAAAAGGGTGATTCAACGTCGCTTCAACGTGAGTGTTCCGCGCGCGCGCGTTCCGGAAAAAGCGTCCACGCTTCGAGGCCGTTCCGAGAGATGATCGCTCGTCCAAAAGTCAGCCGAAACGAGTGGAAAACGGCCGAGATAGGAGCCTTTGAAGTTGGGAAGTTCGCACTCTTTTCCTGCCCAGGTGCCGGACGCGCTCAAGTACCTCGAGAAGATCAAGACGCCCGAGGTCTACCGCTTCTGCGCCATCCCCCAGGTCATGGCCATCGCCACGCTCGTCGAGTGCTTCGACAACCCGAAGCTCTTCACGGGCGTCGTCAAGATCCGCAAGGGCATGGCCGCGCGGCTCATCGTCGACACGCAGAAGGGCCACGGCGCCGTGCTCAAGTGGTTCCGCCACTTTGGGGAGCACATCCTCGACCGCGTCGACGACTGCCACGCGACGTCGTCCGACAAGTGGCGCCTCATCGCCGCGGCGACGCGCGTCGTCGCGTCGACGCCCGAGCCGCCGCCCTACAAGAAGAAGGCCGCGTTCCTCGTCACCGTGGGCTACCTCGGCTACAAGATCTCCAAGTTCGCCATCAACTGGATCTGGTGGCCCCTCCTCATCCGCCCCTTCCTCCTCCCGGCCTACCTCAAATTCCTCCACCCGACGCTCAACGCGACGCTCATCCCCGCGATCACCGAGAACGTCGTCCCGGTCCTCCGGCAGGCGCCCGTCGTCGGCGGCTACTTCTAGGCGCCCCCCGCGATACGTAACGCCGCACACGGGGAGCTAGCGCAACGATGCTAGTATGTGGTGAAGGCAAGTTTACCGTATCGAAACATGGGAGGTCGGCCACAGGCTCGCGACGCACCGCGCCAGGAAGGCCCGCGCGTCGCCGGCGTCGCATGGGGCGAGCTGGCAGGTGACCGCGCCGGGCCGCGGCGCGCCGGCGTCTCCGCCGCGGAACGCGAGCGCGGACGCGCGGTCGCGCCAGAAGGCCGCGGCGAGCACGAAGGGCGTCCGGACCGGGTCGCGGGACGACAGGCTCGCGGCGCCCGGCGGGAGCCGCGGCACGCAGTCGTCGTGGTCGTGGGGGAGGTCGTAGGCGTCGCCCGGCGCGCCGCCGAGGAGCGCCGCGCCGAGCTCGTTGAGCGCCACGGCGCGCCGCCCGGCGAAGGGCCCGCCCCGCAGCGGCGCGACGCGGCCGCCGAGCGCCGCGGCGACGACGCAGTGGCCGCGGCCCAGGCCCAGGACGGGCGCGCCCGCGGCGAACGCCGCGGCGACGGCCGCGCGGAACGCCGCGGCGCCGGGCTCCCTGCTCCGCGCGGCCGCCGCGGAGCCGGCGACGACGACGCCGTCGAGGCGCCGCGCCGCCGCGACGAGCGCGTCCGGCGCTTCGCGCGTGGCGTCGACCTCGACGAGCGCGACGCCGTCGAGGAGCGCCGCCAGCGCGGCGACGTCGGACGCGCCGTCGTGCCACAGGGCGAGGCGGAGCCGCGGCGCCTTTCGACGGCGCGCGACGACGACGACGACGACGACGACGACCGAGGCCGCTACTGCGAGCACGCCGAGACGAAGCATCTCGATAGGCTGCCCGCCTACATTGACGGAAACTTGCCGCTGATGGAAATTAATCTATTGCCTATTGCGTGGCTTGGACTCATCGGCGTCGTCGTCCGACGACGCGCCACCGACAACAAACCCTGGAGCGCCAGACGCTCCTCGGCAAAAAGGACAGCGACGACATGGACGCCCTGGACACGGAGCCGCCCGGCGAGGACGACGCGCTCATCGCGTCCCGCGTGCGGTTCCTGGCGGGCCTCGCCTGCCTGAACTCCGTGGCCCTGGGCTTCCAGATCGGCGCCGTGTCCGCGGCGGCGCCGCTCATCCAGGACACGTACGACCTCAACTCGTTCCAGCTCGAGATGTACGAGGCGGCGATCAGCGCCGCGGCGATCCTCGGCGCGGTGCTCGCGGGCGTCGTGAGCGAGCCCGTCGGGCGCCTCAAGGCCTTCCAGATCTCGAGCGTGCTCTTCATCGCTGGGTCGCTCATGCAGGCCGTGAGCTTCGGCTACTACATGCTCATGGTCGGCGTCTGCATCGTCGGCGTCGCCGTGGGCTTCGGCCTCAGCGTCGACCCGATCTACATCGCGGAGATCTCGCCCCAGGGGGACCGGGGCTACTTCGTGACCTGGAGCGAGATCGCCATCACGGGCGGCCAGGTCCTGGGCTTCGCCGCGGGGCTCGTCATCGAGATCATCTTCTCGTCGTGGTCGGGGTCGTGGCGCATCATCATCGGCTGCGGCGCGCTGACGCCCATCGCGCTCTTCCTCGCCGTGGCCTTCGTCATCCCCGAGTCGCCGCGGTGGCTCGCGATCCACGGGCGCGTCGACGAAGCGCGGGCCGTGCTCGCGGGGCTGGGCCTCTCGCGCGGCGCCGTCGACCGCACGCTCGAGGACATCGCCGAGGAGCAAAGGATCGCGCCCGCGGAGGACGCGTCCGTCGTGGGGCTGCTGACGCAGCGCCGCGCGCTCAAGCCCGCGGTGAAGCGCATCCTGCTCGTGGGCGTCGGCGCGGCCGTCGCGCAGCAGCTGAGCGGCTGCGACGCGATCTTCTACAACTTCCTCTTCTCGCTCGAGGCCGTCGGCATCAACTCCACGTGGATCTCCTACAGCATCCTCCTCGGCCTCGGCGTCGTCAAGCTCTGCACGGCGATCCTGTCGTGCCATCTCCTGGACTCCGTCGGCCGCCGGCCGCTGATTTTAGCGAGCGCGACGGGCACGGCCGCGACGCTCTACGTCCTCGCGCTCTTCTACGCGTTCTGCACGACGCTCAAGGGCAACGTCGCCTACCAGGCGGGCATCATCTTCTTCTACTACGTCTACATCTTCGTCTTCGAGCTCGGCCTCGGGCCGGGCTGCTGGCTGATCCCGTCCGAGGTCTTCTACAACGCGATCCGCATGCGGGCCATGACGCTCGCGACCTTCGCGAACCGGTGCACGACGACGGGCGTCGTCGCAACGGCCATCTCCATCGAGGACGCCTGGTCCTGGGCCGGCTACTTCGCCTGGTACGCGTCGACGGCCGCCGCCGGCGCGGCCTTCCTCTGGATCTACCTGCCCGAGACCAAGGGCAAGTCCCTCGAGACCATGTACGCGCACTTCGAGGCCATCACGGGCTCCGAGGAGCACAGCCGGCCCTTCACGCCGAGCCCGTTCCAGCGGTCCCTCGACGGCGCCGGCGACGCCAAGGCCGCCGCCGCCGCGCGCGACCAGGCCGCGAGCGCGAGCAAGATCGTATGAGCCCGGCGCGGCATGACGAGGGTGTCGGCGCGGCATGACGAGGGTGTGGGCGCCCGCCCGGGGAGGGTTGGTGTAGGGTTGGTGGAGCCACTGGAGGGTCTGCGGCCGAAGCGCGCGGCACCGACCCCCGGGCGGCCCGGCCGGCCGAGCGCATCGCTGTGCCGACTCGAAATCGAAGGTGTTGGCCGCCGCGCGCCAGCGAGCGGCCCGCGCCATTGGACGAAAGCTCCCGCGCCCCTGACCGCGCAGGACGCGACAACTTGCCGCGCTCGACGCCAAAAAAAAAACAATGGGCCGCGACGACGACCGCGACCGCGACCGGTCGCGGCGCGACCGGAGCCGCGAGCGGTCGCGGCGCGACCGGAGCCGGTCGCGGGACCGGAGCCGGCGCGACCGGTCGCGGCGCGAGAAGAGCGCGGACAAGGCCGCGGCCGAGCCCGCGCCGGCCCCCGCGCCCAAGGAGAGCATCGAGATGATCAGGCAGAAGTCGGAGATCGACGACCTGACCAAGGACCAGCGCACGGTCTTCGTGAGCCAGCTCGTCATGAAGGCGACGGAGAAGCAGATCCGCAAGTTCTTCGAGAAGGTCGGCAAGGTCAAGGACGTCATCATGATCCGCGACAAGTACACGAACCGCCACAAGGGCTTTGCGTACGTCGAGATGGCGGACCTCGAGTCCGTGCCCATGGTGCTCATGCTCAACGGCACGGTCGCCGACTTCCAGCGCTTCCCCATCCTCGTCAAAGCCTCCGAGGCGGAGAAGAACTTCCTCGCCAAGCAGGAGGCGACGGCCGCGCAGCAGGAGGCCGCGGAGGTGTCGCGCGCGGCGGCCGCGCCGCGGAAGCAGCTCCTCGTGGGCAACCTGCACCCGAACATCACGGAGAGCGACCTGCGCACGGTGCTGGCCCCCTTCGGGGCCGTCGACGCCGTCGACATGGGCGCCGTCGCGCCGGGCTCCGCCGTCGTCACGTTCGTCCACGCGGACGACGCGGCGAAGGCGAGCTCGCGCATCGCGGGCATCGAGCTCGGCGCGGACAAGCCCATCACCGTCGAGTTCTACGACGACCCGGCCTTGGCCGGCGGCGGCGTGTCGTCGTCGGACTGGAGGCTCGACTCCGACGTCGCCGGCGGCGGCGGCGTCGCCATGGACCCGGGGTCGCGCGCCGCGCTCATGGAGCAGCTCGGCCGCGGCGCGGCCATGCCCGGCGCGCCGGGGGCCGGCGCGCCGCCGCCGCCGCCGCCGCCCCAGCCCGCGGCGCCGCCGCCGCTCCAGGGGCCCGCGACGGCGGCGTTCGTCATCTCGAACATGTTCGACCCCGCGACGGAGACGGACCCGACGTGGCGGTCCGACATCCGCGACGACGTCACGGCGGAGTGCGGCAAGTACGGCCCCACGGTCCACGTCCACGTCGACGCCGTCTCGCCCCGGGGCCTCGTCCACGTCCTCTTCCGAGACGCGGACGGCGCGGCCGCGGCCGCGGCCGCGCTCCACGGCCGCTGGTTCGCCGGCCGCGCGATCACCTGCGTCTACGTCGCGCCGGAGACGCACCGCGCCCAGTTCGCCGCCGAGATGTGAGGGCCGGGGGGCGAGCCGCGGACGACTAAGCACCGGCATCCGCGACGCGCGCTCCGCGACGCGCGCGCGCGCCGCCTACGCGGCGAAGTCGACGACCTCGGCGGGCGCCAGAGGCTCGGAAGAGGCCTTGGCGGCGGCCGCGGCGGCCGCGGGCGTGTTCGTGCAGTCCGTGATGAGCTTCTGCTTCTTCGCCGGCGGCGCGGCCTCCGCGGCGGCGGCCTTGCGCGCCTTCTCGGCCTTCTTGGGGTCGAAGGTCACGTCGACGAAGTAGCACTTGCCCTGGCGCGTCTCGCCGGAGGCGCGCTTCTCCTCGTTCGTGGCCACGCGGCGCTTCGCGGTCCAGCCCGAGCGGGCCTTGACGTGCTTGTTGAACGCCGTCCAGCACGGCTGCGTCAGGTGCGTGCTCGGCTTGAGCAGCTCGACCGTGACCTTGGCTTTCACCGCCGCGTCCGCCTCCGTCGCCTTGGCGTGCTTGTCGAACGCGGCGATGGCCGCGTCCTCGCGCCGCTGCGCCGCGCCCGACTTCTCGCGGAAGGTCGAGCGGTCGAAGCCGTCGTCGCCGTAGCCGCCGTAGCCGCCGCCGTAGAATGAAAACATGGCAATGTGCGTTGCGCGTGTGGGCTAGCTTGCACAGGATGGCAGCGCGATCGTTCGCGCAGTCGTTCGGGACGAGCCTGTTGGGGCAGCCCGTCGTTCAAACGAGAGATGCAGCATCGACCTCTCCACCTCGCCGTGATTGGCCCGGGCTGCCTCGAAGAGTATTCTAACACGATGATGTGCGACGCAGCATAGACCCGGTGTAATCTATTCTACGACGATGATGCGCTTCGCGGCCCTCTGCGCGCGGATCGCGGCGCCGCCGCCGCGCAACGCCGCGCTGGCGCGCCTCGAGCACGCCCTGGTCCTCGGCCTCGCCGCCGTCGCCGCGCGGCGCCTGTGGCGCCTCGGACCCATGGGCGTCGTCAAGGCGGTGAGCTCCGCGCTGCTCGCCTCCGTCGCGTCCGTGGCCCCCGCCGCCGCCGCACGGGCGAAGCGCGCGGCGCTCGCGGACATCGAGCGGGGCATCGCGCGGTCGATGCACGGCGACGGCGACGCGGACGCGACGACCGCGCTGCCCGCCGCGGGCCGGCCCGCGGCCGCCGTGCTCGACGCGGCCCGGCGGCTCAAGCGGACCCACGACGGCTTCGCGTCGGGGAAGCAGTTCGGGGGCGTCTACCACGACCCGAACGGCGGCCTCGACGAGCTCCAGGCCGACGTCCCGCGAGTACAACGCGTCGAACCCGCTCTACCCGACGACGTTCCCCGCGCTGCGGAAGATGGAGGCCGAGTGCGTCGCCATGGTGCTCGACATGGTCCGCGGCGGCGAAAGCGCCTGCGGCCTCCTGACGTCCGGCGGCACGGAGAGCGTCATGATCGCGCTGCTGGCCTACCGCGAGCGCGCGCGGCGCGCGGACCCGAGCCGCACCGTCTTCGAGATCGTCGCCGCGTCGACGGCCCACGCGTGCTGCCACAAGGCCTGCCACTACTTCGGGCTCACGTTGGTCACCGTACCGCCCAGGGCAGCAAAAGAGAGCGAAATTCCCAACTTCAAAGGCTCCTTTCTCGGCCGTTTTCCACTCGTTTTGGCTGACTTTTGGACGAGCGATCATCTCCTTGAACGGCCTCGAAGCGTGGATGCGTTTTCCGGAACGCGCGCGCGCGGAACACTCAAGTTGAAGCGACGTTGAATCACTCTTTTGCTGCCCAGGTGCCGCCGGACCCCAAAACGCTCCGCCTGACGCCCGCGGCCGTCGCGGCGAAGCTCACGCGGCACACTGTGGCCATCTACGCGTCGGCGTGCACGTTCACGCACGGCGTCGTCGACGACGTGCCCGGCCTGGCCGCCCTCGCGCGGGCCCGCGGTCTGGGGCTGCACGTGGACAACTGCTTCGGCGGGTTCCTGCTGAGCCACCTCGGCGACCGCTACGCGGGCCCGGCCTGGGACCTGTCCGTCGACGGCGTCTCGTCGCTGTCCTGCGACGTCCACAAGTTCGGCTGCGCGTCCAAGGGCTGCTCCGTCGTCGCCTTTTCCGACGCGGCGCTGCGGCGCGCGTCGTACTGCCCGCGATTCGACGGCGCCGAGGGTTTATACGTGACGCCGACGCTCCAGGGCTCGCGGTCCGGCGGTGTGGTCGCGCAGGCCTGGGCGACGCTCCTCCACGTCGGCCGCGGCGGCTTCGAGGCCAAGGCGCGGGGCCTCGCGGACGCGCGCGACGCCGTCGTCGCGTTCGTGCGCGACCGCGTGCCCGAGCTCCGGCTGTTGGCGGACCACGACGCGACCTGCCCCGCGGTCGTGCCCCTCGGGCTGGCGCCCGGCTCGCCCGTGGCGTCGGTCTACGCCGTCGCGCACCACATGGCGGCCAGGGGCTGGAACCTGCCCACGGGGCAGAAACCGGCCTGCGTCTCCGTCCTCCTCGCCTACCAGCACGCGGGCCCGCTCCTCGACGCGCTCCTCGCGGACCTCCGGGCCGCCGTCGACGCGGCCGTCGCCGCGCCGGACGCGAAGCTCGACGGCGAACTGGCCGTCTACGGCGCCGCGGACGCCATCCCCGACGAGCTTCTCGACGAGGCCTGCCGCCTCTACGTCGACGTCCGCATGGCCGTCCGCGGCGCGGACGTCGGCAAGGCCGCGGCGGGGCCCTAGGAGTCGGCCACGCGCCACGAAGGATCGTCGGATTCGCGCGCGTTTTGGCCTGTCGAGGCCTATCGGCCGCGTGTGCTCTTGGGCATGCGATTTCTCCGACGCTAAATACACAATAACAATAATAATAATAGAGCCGCGCGCCCGTTCTTGACGACGGCAGGTTGAACTCAACGTTCAGCGTTGTTACCGCTGGCGAGCGTTTTTGCACGATGGCTGCGTAAAAAAGCCTTTTTGCACAATGATGGCCGATCCGCTGGAGACGGCGCTCGTCGACGATTTGGGCCTGCCCTTCTTCGCCACGATGGGCGGGACGACGGGCAAGCTCGCGGCGATGAAGGCGAAGCTCGGCAAGACGTCGCAACGGAAGCGTTTCGCGCTCTTCGACGGCCTCGACGCCGCCCGCGTGCGCGCGGCGCTCGACGAGGGCAAGGTCGTCGCCGCGCGCTGCGCCCGCGCGGCCGCCGTCGAGGCCTGGCCGCCCCTCGCTAAAACCTGCGCCGCCAAGGTCGGCCGGCGGGATTTAGGCGCGAGCGCGCACGTCGCGCTCGGGTCGCTCGTCGCCATGTCCGGCGCGAGCTGCTGGTGCGTCGGCGGCTTCGCCGACCAGCGCGACTGCCAGCAGGCGGGCGCGGCGCTCGTGGCCGAGTCGAAGCGGCGCAGCGAGGCGGGCGTGCGGACCATCTACGTCGTCCGCCCGGAGCCCGTGTGCGGCGCGGACGAGCTCAAGGCGCGCGCGGACCACCTCTGGGCGTCCGTGCCGGGCAACGAGCACATGCGGCTCGACGAGGAGGCGGCCTACTCCGTGTCCAACGAGGCGTCCGCGGCCAAGGTCGCGGCCGTCGCGCGGCGCCTCGGCGACTACGCCCTCGTCGTCGACGCGACGGCGTGCGTCGGCGGCAACGCCATCGCCTTCGCGCGCGCGTTCCCGCGCGTCGTCGCCGTCGAGATCGACGCCTCGAAGGCGGCCAAGCTCGCCCACAACGTCGCGCACGTCCGGTCGACGGCGCCGCTCGGCGCCGTCGACGTCGTCGTCGGCGACTGCTTGGACGAGCTCGACCGCGTGCCCGCGCTCGACGACGCGGGCGCCGCGGCGCTGGTCTTCGCGGACCCGCCCTGGGGCGGGCGCCACTACAAGTTCGCAAACGAGGCCGACGAGGTGCACCTCAAGGGCGGCGGCGGCGGCCTCGAGGCGCTCGTCGGCCTCTGCGCGCGGAAGCGCGCCGTGGGCCACCTCCTCCTCAAGGTGCCCTTCAACTTCAACGCCGCGTCGCTGGCGGCGTCGCGCCACGTCCGCCGGCTCGACACGGTCCTCCTCTCGTCCAAGGTCACGCTCCTCGTGCTCCACCTCGAGAAGGGCGCGCCGGGCCCGAAGGCGACGCGGAAGCGGGAGCGCGGCCCCTCCGGGGGCCGCGAGCACAAGAGCAAGAAGAAGAAGAAGAAGAAGACGCGCGACGACTAAAACTCGGACGACGAAGCTTACTACGGGGACGAGAGGCGCGCCTTGAGGCGCTGGAGGAAGTCGGGCTTCTTGCCCGGCGTCGGCGGGAGCGGCGCGGGCGCGGCCAGGGACGGCGCGCTCGCCGAGTCGCCGAGCGACGCGAGGAACGCGTGGCGCAGGATGTCGTCCGCCGACGGCCGCCGCTCCGCGTCGCGCGTGAAGCACCGGCCGATGAAGTCGAGGAGCTCCGGGCTCAGGTCGTAGCCGTCGACGGGCGGGCCGTCGGACGAGCGGCAGACGGCGATCATGAGCGCGTAGGGCGTCTTGAAGTTCTTCGTCTTCCAGGGCGGGTCCCCCGTGGCGCAGAGCAGCGCGAGGCCGCCGACGGCCCAGACGTCGCACTTGCGGCCGACGGCCTTGCCCGTCATCTGTTCCGGCGCCATGAAGAAGGGCGTGCCCCGGAGGCTGCCCGTCTGCATGAGCGTGCCCTCCTCGCCGAGGCGCTTGGACGCCCCAAAGTCCGCGAGCTTGGCGACGCCCGTGTCCGAGATGAGCACGTTCTCGCCCTTGATGTCGCGGTGGACGACGCGCTGCGCGTGGAGGAAGACGAGGCCGTTGAGCACGTGTCTCAGGTAGCGCCGTGTGATGGCGTCGTCGAAGGTGCCGCCGAAGGCCTTGACGTTCGCCGCGAGCGTGCCGCCGGGGACCCACTCCTGGAAGATGTGGATCTTCGCCTCGGGCTCGTCGATCTCGCTGCCGAGGTACTTGACGATGTTGTCGTGCTTGAGCGTCGAGAGGATGGCGATCTCGCGGTGCGTCTCCTCGAGGTGCTTCTTGAGGGAGTCGCTCGGCTCGTCGTCGCCGTCGTGGCGCACGGGCAGGAGGAGCGTCTTCACGGCGATGAGCGCGCCCGTCTCGAGGTCGAGGCCCTGGAAGACCTGGCCGTAGGACCTACCGCGCGCGTCGGTAACGATGTCGCATCGTCTTCCCGGTCAAAATCTCTCGAACATCGTCACGGATGCAGGACGCTGCGTAGGACCCGCTCCCGATGAGCTTGCCGAGCTTCCACCGCGACACGCCGATGGTCTCGGGGAGCGGCGAGCACCGCCGCGGGGGCCCGGGCGACGCCGCGGGCTCCGGCGGCGGCGGCCGGTCGTCGGGCGCGGGCGGCGGATACGTCGGGAAGCCGTGGCTCGCCTCCAGGGTCGCGACGTTGCACAGGTCGCCCGACGCCTCCTTGTCGTCGAGCATCTCCGCGAACATCGCCGCGAGCGGCAGGGGGCCCTCCTTGGGCCTCTTGTCGCTCGGCATGATCAGCGCGATGAGCGCCTCCTGGGTCCCCGGCGCGAGGCCCTTGACGAGCAGCTTGGTCGTCGTCGCGTCGAGCGCCGCGCCGTCGAGGCGCCGCAGGCGTCGCACGACGGCCTTCGCGTCCGGCGCCGCGATCTCCGCCGCCTCGAGGACGGCGACGGCCGTGTCCTCGTCCATGGACTGCAGCTCCTGGATCTTCTTCATCGCCGCGGGCTTCGACGCGCCCCCGCCCATGGCTGGGGCGGGGGGGACTGCGCCGGTGCTGGCTTCGGCGGCCTCTAGTCGGGGCAGCACGAACTCCGGGCCACCATGCTTGCGCTCTGCTCGAATGTTTGTGCAAGCACTGCATAGTGCAGTGGACAGTAGCAGCCTGCCCGTGGAAGGATGGCCGGCCCGGCGGGGGACGTCGAGCTCGTCGACGAAGCGAAGGCGCCCACCGTCGACGAGGAGAAGGCGCCCACCGCCGACGATGCGGAGCACGGCATGGCATGCCGGAAGATCGTCGTCGACGCCGGCGAGCACATCGTCGACGCGGCCCACGACGCGGCCAAGCACGTCGCCGGCGCGGCCCACGACGCCGCGGTGCTGTCGAAGCGGCTCCAGCAGGACTTCATGGGCATCGCCGACACGGAGTCGCGCGCCGCGTCCCGCGGCCGCGGCGCGTGTCGAGAGCCTTCGACCGGGGACGGACGCCGTCACCGACGCGCGGCGTAGGTCGCACGGCTACATCGAGGAGGAGGTCGAATCCGTCTTCGAGCCCATCGCCGGGACCTACGAGGCGCCGATCACGCTCGAGGAGTACAAGCGGACGGTGCTCAAGGGCAAGGAGTACAAGAGCTCCTGGGACGAGCTCTTCTTCGACCTCGCGCTCGTCGCGACGTTCGGGTCCCTGGCGACGATCCTGTCCCTCTTCGAGCCGCTCCACGACGCCCACCACGGCGACGACCACTACGGCCACGGCGACGACCACGGCGACGACCACGGCGACGACCACGGCGACGACCACGGCGGCGGCCACCGCCGGCGCCTGAGCGCCGGCGCGCAGGTCGCGCACCTGAGCTTCCCCCAGGCCATCACGCTCTACTGCCTCTGCACGGCGACCGTCGTCGCGGTGCGCCGCTTCACGGACGGCCACCGCGCGCAGTGGTACCGCAACGACCTCGTCGGGTCCGCGCTCCTCCTGCTGCGCGCGGGCTGCGTCGTCGGCATGGGCGCCGTCGCCAAGTACGGCAAGGAGAAGATCTGGCAGTTCCACGCGTTCTTCGCGGCCGCGAACTTCATCGGCCTGTTGAGCGTGCTGGACTGCTACCGGTCGCGGCCCAAGCACTGGAAGACGCTGCTCACGGAGACGGCGAACCTCGCCGGCAACGCGATCTTCTCGCTGGCCTTCGCGCTCGTCTACCACCCGGACTGCGGCGGCTACGGCTTCGTGGGCTGGCGCGGCTACGCGGTGTGGATGCTCGCGATGCCCTTCATCTTCGCGGGGTCCTGGATGTTCGAGCACAGCGGCGTCGGGCCCGACAGCACGAGCCGGCTGCCCGTGAACGTCGAGTACGTGAGCGAGCGCTTCGGGCTGCTGGTCATCATCACGTGCGGCGAGTCGCTCTTCGCGGCGATCTCGATCCTCGCCGACTCGGACAGCTTCCACAAGCTCGTCGTCGCGTTCCTCTCGACCTACTACGCGCTGCTCATCAAGCTCCTCTACTTCGAGCTCCAGTCGAACGTGTCGAAGCACGCCATGGAGGTGAGCCACTTCCGGGGCGTCGGCTGGACGCTCGTGCACATCCCGGTCTTCGTGTGCGCGGCGGGCGCGGGCGGCGTGCTCCACTGGGCGAACAAGGGCGACAAGTGGAGCGCGCGGGAGCGCCACCTGTTTTTAGGGTTCACGGTCGTGGAGCTCCTCGCGCTGAGCCTCGTGTCCCTCTTCCACGGCAAGATCCACAACGACTCGAATTTGTGGTGGACGAAGAAGAAGACCCGCGTGCTCGTGCGCCTGACCATGTGCACGTGCATGGCCGTGGGCGTGCTGCTGAAGAAGGCCGACAACATCTACACGCTCGCGTACGCCTGCGCGCTCATCACCATGGACTTCTGCTACGAGTTCAACGCGAAGCGCCACATCGCCGAGGAGCACGAGAAGGAGGAGGAGATCTACACGTCCAAGCGCCGCGTGTCCGAGCAGCTCGCGGCCGCGCAGGCCGCGGGCGAGGTCGCCCCGCTCCGACACCGCTCCGCGACGACGCCCATCAGCCTCGGGGCGTGAGGGCGCCGCCTCGCGCGTAATTCGTTCTTGTTCAACGTCCGGTCAACACACGGCTTCCCCCCCCCCCGGGGACCCCTCCCCTCCCCGGACGGACGCCGTCGGGCGCGTCCCCTTCAACTTAACGTCAACATCGCGTTAACAACGACATACACGTGCGCCAGCCCTGAGTCTCTGTGACGAGACGAGGAAGCATCACCAGTGCTGCAGCCGCGCGCGATGGCGCTCGCGCGACTCTGCACTCTTGCGTTCGCCCTCCTCGGCGTCGAGGCCTTCGCGCCGTCGCGCGCTCGCTTCGCTCCAAAACTCACGCGTATTGGTGCGACGGACGTCGGCGACGCCATCGCCTGCTACGGCCGCGTCGCCGACAAGATGTTCGTCGTGAAGCCCGACGAGGTCGAGGGCACGGCCGCGAGCGGCTACGAGTTCGGCATCTTGCAAGCCGGCAAGCCCAAGTGGCTGTGCACCTACTCCATGCGCAAGGGCCTCCTGCAGGGCGGCGGCAACGAGGCCATCCACCGGCCCGCCTGGCGGAGCCTCTTCGGCGCCGACGGCGTCCTCGAGGACCGCGCGGCGCTCGGCGCGAGGCTCGCGGACCGGGCCCACGCGATGCCGCTCGGCGCGCCGTCCGGCGCGGGCGCCAAGGCGACCGAGCCGCCGACGGACGCGGCCGTCGCCGCGCTCTGGAAGCTCCTCGGCGGCTCGGGCTGCGGCTGCTGCGCGCTGGAGGCCTCCAAGGCGGAGGCGTCGCTTCGCGCCGCGGCCGAGGCGCACTCGAGCGACGCGGACCAGCTCAACTTCAAGGCGTTCGCCGCGGCGTTCGAGGGCGCGAGCGCGTAATCCGCGACCGCGCCGCGTCATCGGTTCCCGCGTACTCCGTTACCGCTCCGCGTTCTGCGCGAAGTAGGCCCCGTGGGTCTTGGGCGTGATCGCCGGCGCATCCCAGCCCGCGGCGCGGAGGTCCGCGGAGATCTTGTTGAGGCGCTTCGCGTTGACCTCGAAGTCGAGGAAGCCGACGCGCGACGCGGAGCGCACGCGGAGCACGTAGGGCGTCGTGTGGCTCAGCACGAGCTCGAGGTCGTCGATGTAGCCGTTCTTCAGGGACTCGTAGCGCACGTACTCGTAGCCGTCCTTCTCCGCGACGATCTCGAAGCCGCCGCCGTCGACGCCGGACTGGCCCGGCGGGTAGGCCCGGAGCGTCCGCCCGAGCTGCGCGACGAGGTCCTCGCGCGTCGCCGCCGCCGGCGCCTTCCACGCGGGGATCGTGTGCTCGGGGAACTCGTCGGGCGTCGTGCAGAAGCAGTTGGGCGCGCCGCCGCAGAGCTTCAGCTCCGGCGCATCGCTCTCGGACTCGGGCCGCTCCCGGAGCCCGAGGTCGCTGGGCACGGGGCCCCGGCGCTTCTTGCGGTCCGCGTACCTCGCGGCCTCCGGGATGGCGTTGGAGTAGGCCTGCACCGGCCGGCCGGCAACGAGCGTGGTGATGGAGGCGCCGAGGCCCCCGACCTGCCGCCGGCTCACGGCCCGCATGCGGTGCGGCCGCGCGGCGAAGGCGAGAGGGAACAGGAGGACTGCGAAAGTCATCGATGCGGCGACCATGCCGAGCGGCGCGCGCGCTGGCGGCCGAAGGACTAAGGACTGCTGACGAGGTCGAGCTGAGGAAGGCAGCCCCAAGCCGAGCCTGCCGTCACCTTCGGCGAGCGTCCGGCGCCGCGGCCGACGGGCCCCTGCGCGACGGTCCGGCCCCGGGACGGGGGGCGGGGACGGCGGGCACGGGGGTTCCGGCACGGTAAATGCGCTCAGGGCACGCGGCCCGGCACGGGCCCGGCACGCGGCACGGCACTCGGCACGGGCCCCCGGGCACGGGCCGGGCACGGGCCACGCGGCCCGGCACGGGCCCGGCACTCGGCACGGGCCCCGGGCACGGGCCGGGCACGGGCCGGGGAGGCCCGGCACGGGCCCGGCACGGGGCCCCGGGCACGGCCCGGGCACGGGCCGGGGACGTGGCCGGGGACCGCGGCACGCACCGTCGCGCAGGGGCCCCTCGGCCGGCTCAGTGGCGAGGCGAAGCGAGCCACCTCACCATGGGACTGTGAGGAAGGAGGCATCGTGAGTGCATCGTGCACCGCACCCAAAACGTTGCGACGGACGCGCCCCGCTCTCGGCCATCCCCCGACGCGCCAAAGGCCCGCGGCGGCCGGCGCTCGGAGTCCCGCGGGGCGCCCTCCTCGCCTTAAAGGAAGCGGTGGTTAGGTCGCCGCGGCGGCCCGACGCGCGCCTATTGCTCGTTGGAGATCGCGTGGCCGATCACGGCGCAGTGGGGCCAGAGGAAGTGGTCGTAGGTGTAGGGGAGCGTCGCCGTGTTCGGGCGCATGGCCTCGTAGAGCTCCTCGTTCGTGTAGAACATGTTGTCCTTGTCGAAGAGGTTCTTGAAGGGCTGGTAGTTCGTCGGGTTGTGGCCGTAGCACTTGTGGTAGGGGTCCCAGGTCTCGTCGTAGTTCGCGAG